TCTACATGGTATGAAAGTCGCTCAGTCATGTCCAACGCTTTGCAACCCCATGGACTATACACTCAAGGCCAAATACTGGAGTGGGTAGCCTTTCCCTTCTCCGGGGGATCGTCCCAACCCAGGGATCGAACCCAGGTCTCCCACATTGCAGGCGGATTCTTTACCAGCTGAGCCACAAAGGAAGCCCAAGAATACTAGAGTGGGTAGCCTATCCCTTCTCCAGTAGATCTTCCTGACCCAGGGATCAAACCCAGGTCTCCCACATTGCAGGCAGATTCTTTACCCGCTGAGCCACAAGGGAAGTCATATTATTTCTATAGAGTCAAGTAATTGTCTGGTACAATTAGCTTGGAGAAAGCAGAGAGGAGAATCTCACATGTCAACAGATCAATGCAAATGAAGTTCAAGTTTGCCTCTGCCTTGAGTGTTGTTAGCCAAGAGTGGATAACACCTACAGAGGCCACTGAGGGTCCTTATTTAGATAGGTTTCCTGAAAGAGCTATTGCATGAAGCAACCATATGATACTCTGCTTGGCAGTAAATACCATGTTGTTTTTCTGGATGTGAAAACCTCCAGAAAAATCAAGATTTTAAAACAATAGAGTATATGGATAGAATAATATGACTTAGTGCTGTAGAGACATCTCTTCGTCTCACAGCATCTGTGATGCCCTTTAGGTTTTTGGGGGATCAGCTAGGGAGGAGGACCTAAACCAAGGTGCTGTGAGATGCTCTCAGCAGATGTCCTTTGAGTACTCCTCTGCTCTGAAAGTCAAAAGCACGGGGCCTCCCAGTCCAAAACCATCCCTGGACAACCTGTGTCTTAGACCTGGGGTCCCAAGCCCAGGACTATACAGCAGGAGGTGAACAGTGGGCAGGCGAGCAGGCGAAGCTTCATCTATATTTATAGCCACTCCTCATCACTTGCCTTACTACCTGAGCTCCCCTCCAGTGGTGAGATCAGTGGTGGCATTAGATTCTCACAGCAGTGCAAACCCTACTGTTCACCATACATACAAGGGATCTAGGTTGCACACTCCTTATGAGAATCATCTTGAAACCATACCCCACCCTGTCTGTGAAAAAATTATCTTCCACAGTATCAGTCCCTGGTGCCAAAAAGATTGGGGGCCACTGTCTTAGATCAAGCATGTTCCACCTTCCCCACACATCTTAGCACAAACACAGCCAGGCAGAGACCCTGATGGGCTGTGCATGGTTATTGGCTCCAGGCCCAAATAGCAGTATTTTCAGGAAACTCCTAAAGTTTTATGTTTCTGTGCAGATTGCACTCAAACAGCTTACCATTTTGTAACTGCTCATTCTTTATGTATGTGACTCAGAGTGTCATACCTCACTTTCATATACATCCTTGCACAGAAGAACTATACAAAAAAGATCTTATAACCCAGATAACCACGATGGTGTGATCACTCACCTAGAGTTAGACATCCTGGAGTGCAAAGTTAAGTGGGTCTTAGGAAACATCGCTAGGAGCCAAGCTAGTGGAAGTGATGGAATTCCAGCTGAACTATTTCAGATCCTAAAAGTTGATGCTGTTAAAGTGTTGCACTCAATATGCCAGCAAATTTGGAAAACTCGACAGTGGCCAAAGGACTGGAAAAGTTGGTTTTCACCCCAATCCCAAAGAAAAGCAATGCCAAGGAATGTTCATACTACCACACAATTGCACTCATCTCACACACTAGCAAAGTAATACTCAAAATTCTCCAAGCTAAACTTCAACAGTACATAAACTGAGAACTTCCAGTGTTCAATCTGGATTTAGAAAAGGCAGAGGAACCAGATCAAATCACCTATATCCATTGGATTATAGAAAAAGCAAGAGAATTCTGCTTCATTGAATATGCCAAAGCCTTTGACTGTGTGAATCACAATGGAAAATTCTTCAAGAGATGAAACTACCAGACCACTTTACCTGCCTCCTGAGAAACTTGTATGCAGGTCAAGAAGCAACAGTTAGAACTGGACATGGAACAATAGACTGGTTCCAGATTGGGAAAGGAGTACATCAAGACTATATATTTTAACCCTGATTATTTAACTTATATGTTTCACATCATGCAAAATGCCAGGCTGGATTCCAGCTTAAGCTGGAATCAATATTTCCAGGAGAAATATCAATAACCTCAGATACACAGAGGACACCATCCTTATGGCAGAAAGAGAAGAGGAACTAGAGAACTCCTCGATGAAGGTGAAAGAGGAGAGTGAAAAACCTGGCTTAAAGCTCAACATTCAGAAAACTAAGGTCATGGCGTCTGGTCCCATCACTTCATGGCAAATAGATGGGGAAACAGTGACGGACTTTATTTTGGGAGGGCTCCAAAATCACTGCAGATGGTGACTGCAGCCACAAAATTAAAAGACGCTTGCTCCTTGGAAGAAAAGCTATGACAAACCTAGATGGCATATTTAAAAGCAGAGACATTACTTTGCCAACAAAGGTTTATATAGTCAAAGCTGTGGTTTTCCCAGTAGTCATGTATGAAGCTGAGAGTTGGAACATAAAGAAGGCTGAGTACCGCAGAATTGATGCTTCTGAACTGTGGTGTTGGAGAAGACTCGTGACAGTCCCTTGTACTGCAAGGAGATCAAACCAGTAAATCCTAAAGGAAATCAGTCCTGGACTATCCATTGGAAGGACTGATACTGAAGCTAGCTCCAATACTTTGCCCACCTGATGTGAAGACTCAACTCATTAAAAAAGACCCTGATGCTGGGAAAGGTTGAAGGCAAGAGAAGGGGATGACAGAGGATGAGATGATTGGATAGTATCACCGACTTGATGTACATGAGTTTGAGCAAACCCTGGGAGATGGTGAAGGACAGGGAAGCCTGGCCTGCTGCAGTCCATGGGGCAGCAAAGAGTCAGACATGACAAGAGACTGAACAACAATAGCAAATGATTTATAACTTAAGATTTGGGGACTACAATTTTTGTTTTCAATTTAGATATCTGAGATCAAAGGTAAGTAGGAAAAATGAGGGACTATCACAGGACCAGTAATATTAATAACAGCAGTTATAAACTACTTATTTTTAATAGAAGTTTTAGTCTCTTTCTCCTCAAATTTTATTTTTATTTTTCAATTTTTTAAAATAATTTTACTTATCTATTTATTTTTGTCTGTGCTGGGTCTTCATTGCTGTGTGTGCTCTTCTCTAGTTGCCATGTGCAGGCTTCTCATTTTAGTGACTTCTCTTTGCAGAACAAGGGCTCCTGGCGGGCAAGCTTTAGCAATTGTGGTTTGTGGGCTATAGAGCACAGGCTCAATAGTTGTGCCTCACTAGCTTAGTTGCTCTGACACATGTGGGATCTTCCCGGATCAGGGATCGAACCCATGTCTCCTGTATTGGCAGGCAGTTTCTTTACCACTGAGCCACCAGGGAATCCCCCAAACGACTTATTTTTAACTGGAGTAGCATGAGTAATATGAAGAAGGCACGTTTAAATGTTAAACTGTAACAACAGTGATTGGCTTATTTATTCAACAAATATTTATTGAGTGCTTCCTGTATGTTATGTACTGGTATAGGCATGGGGTGGGCATTCAGTTCCAGGTCTCATAGGTCTTACATGCTAACATAAGAAGTTTTAAAGAAATACAAAATTTCAAATGTTAGTTGGTATTAAGAAGGAGAAACACAATGTCCAATAAGAACAGGTGTGAAGGGAACCTGTCTGGAGACCCTCAGAATATGCATTTTATAATAGCTGAGATCTGAGTCATTTGCTAACCAGATGAAGAGGTGGGGACAGAGCGGGAGACTACACAGAGAGACACGAAGGATCCTGGTCCGTTTGAGGGGCTCAGAGAAGACCCTTTATATGACTTTGCTGCGGTTTTGAAGAAAGGAAGTCAGAACGTCATCTAAAGATTACATTCTGACCTCCTATAGAGAACATGTGTGCCAGGGGAGCAAGAGTAGGTTATAGGGGCCAGTGAGGGAGCCTTTGCAATGATCCTGCAAGATGTGTTGGTGGCCTTCCAGTGGAGGTAGCTGGAATGAAGAGACTTGGGGCAGAGGCACCAGATTGGATGATATTGTCCTTAGGAGTAGAGGAAGGCCATGTCAATGATGAAAACTCGATGGAAAAAGAAAGTCTATGGACAGGAGAGGTTGGATGCACACTTTCTTTCTTTATGTAATTTTTTCAATTATAAAATGAAATTACTACTCACTTTAACAAGTCAAACTGCAGAGATATGTTAGGAAGAAGTTAATTATCATCGCCCCACTTCTGGATTAATAACTGTTAGTAATGAGATATTCTCTTATCTTTCTAACTTTAACTCTCTTCTAGAATTTATAAGTGAACATATCAAGTAGAAAAATAGATACAGGGGTCAAAACCTAGAAGGGAAACATGCACTGGGTTTACAGATTCGTCTGTCCTCGTGTAGATAATGCCCCAGCCATGGAATGGATAAGCGTACCTGGGACAAAAGGATGAATCACAAGAAGAGAGCTGGATGAGGTCCCCAGGAGGTCCAGGCTTGACCAGTGAGGAGCTGGTTGGAGAGGAGAGGACAGAGAGATAGGGGAAGAAGCAGAGTACATGTAATACAAGTCATGAACGAACCAAGTGCAGCCGCAAGGTCGATAATGGAACATCCATTACACTGAGCAACAAAGATACCACTGCTAGTGTTGAGAGTTGTATCAAAACCAAACGAGGCTACTGGATGTTAGCTTGGAATTTTGCTAATTCACCCCTGGAGATGTGCTGTTTCTCCAGCGTCACCTCCTGACCAGGTCGGGTGGAGGTCACAGTGAGGAGAAGTAGGGTCTCAAAAGTGAGAGTTTTTCAGGAATGTTTGACAGAGGCAAATATTTCAGGAATATTTGACAGAGTGTGAGAGAGGCAAATGGGATAAAAGCTGTTACAGTGCTCTTATCTATTTTTATGTTAAAGTATGAACTGTTTCAAAAATAAATGGATTTTTAAAAACTTTTGTTTCATGTTTACTCAGGGTAATGTTGGTGAACATGGAGCTGGTGGTCTAAAAGGAGAGAAGGTAATCAAATTTGCAGACTGAGTAGAGACATCTGGGTTTTTACACCAATTCACAGGTTCACATCAGGGCTGCCCCACTGCCCCGCAGGTTCCACTTCAGCCTGCAGGGGGCGCCACTCTCCCCACCTCCTGAGCAAGCGGGGCTGAGCTTGGCCTCCCCTGGAAGCCCTGAGTAGCTGACCACAGGAAGGGAACACTTCCACACTGAGGGGAAATAGCTGTCACATAACTGTCACAGGTAAATGAAATTAGGACACATGTTTCAGTTTATAGTTAGATGTTTCTTGGATCCACATAGGTGGCAAAAGCAATCTGAAAGGCCCTGTGACAGGATGCCTGAGGCTTGGTATTTTTCTGTCCTCTTAAGTATCCAAGCATAAGCTGTCATGGGAGCATTTTGGGGTGGGGTTTTATTGTGTACAGTAGCAGTTTAACCAAATAATTATTTCAAAACAGCTTTAAAATTAAAACGCTGGTGAATTTCCATTGCCTTCTCATTGTCATCATTCACGAGTTTCATTATACTAACTGAAGATGACAAATGCACTTGTCTTCTCAAAAAGATGTCTCACTCCTGTTTGATACTGCAATTATGATGACCTTAGATTCAGTGGGAAATTGTCATTGTCAAGAAAAAAAAGGGGGGGGAACTATATTCAATATTTTGTAATAACCTATAAGGGAGAAGAACCTGAATATATAGATATATATGTGTATGTAAAACTGAATAACTTTGCTGTACACCTTAAACTAACATGACATTGTAAATCAGCTATACTTGAATTTAAAAAGGAAAAAAAAAAAGACAAAAGAAACAATGCACATCAAATCCACAGACAGAGATGAGTAGGACTGAAAATACTCTGCAGGAACATGGCCTGTGAGTGTGCCCTTCCTTCATTCACCCAGTAAAAATTCTCATGATTGAGGGCAGGGTATTTCGACATGAATCCAAGAAAATATGACTTCCGTGCCTTATAAATCCATGCAGCCCATCTATTCACAAGATCATACCTCCGTCACCAGAAAGAAAAAAATAAAAAACAACTGCTTAGAGATAGTCTTCACAGAATGGGAAGCTTCTTATAGACTGACCATTGCAAATGAAATTTCCTGCAAAAAATAAAAATAAAAACCTTGACATTCTTAAAAAGACATCCCTAAAAATTGATTATACAGCAGTAATGTCATTTATGTGTCTTGGATTGCACTTCTGGTACATTAACATTATTTCCTGTAACCAAATAGCTTATGGAATTCCTACACCACCATAACGAACACATTATATTTTAAGCAGTTACTGCAGGACACATGCAGACTAAGGAGAAAAAAAAAAGAGCTTGTCACTTAGGACAGCTGAGCAAAGAGAGCTGTGGCACTTTTAAAGTATTTAAATCATGATTCATTCCTTGAAACAAAGCAGCTGGCTCCCATTTTGCTCTGTTCATTAGGAAACACATGTTACTTAGGAATTCTGAAGACCTCAATGTTGAGAAATTTGATTCTGTAAAACAGGTGTATTTCTAACTCTAAGGACACTTTCTATGGCTCAAAATCTTTTCTAATTGCTTCAGAATCTTAAGTGGAATTAGAAAAAGCCAGTGGCATGACTGTTCCCTCTTCCCACCCAAAGAAATACCCAGGGGAGTCTACAGAGAACTGGATACAGTACCTGATATAAATGCCCATGTGAAATGATTTGTAGGAATTTTAATTAACAGGAGAAAGACTGTCCCAGTAAAAAATGCATAGGATGACTTCTAAAACGTAAGACCACCCTTTCTGGAGGAGCAGAATCACCTCTGCCTGCGCACACTCCATACCTGGGCTGAGTCTATACTCCCATTCTTGGTGATGCTGTTCAGAGGTCACTGTAGTGAGAATTTGAGGCCCCTTCAAGCTGCTCCCTCAGACCTTTGCTCGCACCCTGGTGGACCCCAGTGGTTCTGAACCTCGGCTGTGCACTGGAGTCCCCTGAGGGCTTTTGGAAATTACTAGTCTCGGGCCCCATCTCCAGGACTCTGATGTGGGGCAGAACTCATGTCTCTGGTTGATCCGGAGTGGGGTCCATGTTGCTGTTATATAAAAGAGTTCAGATGATTCTACTCGGCAGCCGGGGTTGAGAACCGTTGAGTGATGGAAGGAACCTGGACTCTGGGGTCAAAAGCTGATTGTGCCATTAACAGCTATGTCTCCTCAGAAAAGACACTCCAATCCTCTGGTCTTCAATTTACTTTTTTGTGAAATGGGTAAAATATATCTACACAGAGTTGATGGCAGGATTTAAATCAAATGAGATGAGATGATCTTACGCAAAGCACAATGCCTGACATATATTAAGCCCTCACTAATGCTATGTTCCTCACTGTTCATTCATTCTAAACTCTCTTTCTTCTCATGGAGTATCATTTATGTCTTTTTGGTATTCATAGTTATCATACTTAACATCTGGTCTTGATGATCTTTGCTTCTCCCACCATAATTTTGATGGAGAAGAGATTCAGTTTATGTTGTAGAATGTAAGATTGAGCCAGAAGTACAATTTCAACATATGCATGACTTTTGCTGTATCATACTCCACTTCTCAATGCATGGCTGACAGAATGGAATCACAAAGCCAGCCTACCATTTGGAACCCAAAGTGGTAAAGAACCCACCTGCCAATACAGGAGACATAAAAGACAGGGGTTCCAGCCCTGGGTCGGGAAGAGCCCCTGGACAAGGGCATGGCAACCTACTCCAGTATTCTTCCTTTAAGAATCCTGTGGACAGAGGAACCTGGCAGGCTACAGTCCATAGGGTTACACAGAGTCGGGCACAACTGAAGTGACTTAGCATGCACACACACTTCTAGTAAAACACCAAAGTCAATACAAACAGCAATAGAATTGACACAAAAATCACTCCTAGGTTAGCAGCCTCATTCTGATTCAAGATACAGGAAGAAAGAGCAACAAATACTACCAGCTTTTAATGGTAAATAGTGATAGAGACCCAGGCATCCGTGCAAGCCACCTGATAGGACTGAAATGATGACCTCTGCTGTGTAGCTTCCTGACAAAGCCAGGATGCAGTGATGGGATGGTGATGTATCTGCAAGTCGGTCAGGGAGAGCTGCTCCTTTATAGAGACAGAAGAATCAGGAGGTGGAATATCTAAGGACCCCTGAGAAATTAGTGGTGTCTTTTAGAGCAATTGTCAGAGGAAAAAGATGGAGGCTCAACACCACCAGACCTTTCAGATAGCATCCAGAGTGTCAATTTAAATGACTGCCTTTCTCGAAGCTAAGTAAATCCATCACTGATCTTTCAACTCATAATTACAGTCATAAATTACTGAACATCCATTTTAAATATGAAGAACAACTCCATATGTGTTTGAGATTCAGGTGGGAAATGCTTTTGTTTATAGAGTTTTGTATTGAGGCGCTGGTCTCTAAGACTTCCTCCTAGCCCAGCCACACCTCCATACCAAACAGAGGTGGACCAAAGCCTCTGCCTGGCCCTTCCTCTGCATTTCAGTAGAGACCTGTATACGTTGTTTTAAATACTTAGCAGCTGTGAACATAGTTACTCTTCCTTCGGGCATGTTCCTCTGCCCTTACCTTTTTGCATCAAGCAGATGTGACTTTTATAGTAAGCCCTAGGCCCTTTCCTTGATTTCTACATTTACTTTATGCAGCTGGCTTGAATTGCTGGGCTTATTTTTTCCCCAGTGCACTAGGCTCTTAACATCTATCAGACGGGTGATAGGAAGGCCAACACTCTATACAGTCTAACACTTGTACAAGACCAGTTGTTTAGTCTGTCAGACCAACAGCAGTCAGTCCCTTAACGTCTCAACCAATTTCTTCCTCTTTTCATCGTGGATAGAACTTACTATCTGTAGGAAAATGGATTCTCCTACAATATGGTAAGTGTAAAACTATTGTTACACTCTATGTTTAGATGGTACACTATAAGGGAAAATACTTGTATTAATAAATGAAGATTAAATTTACAAAATACATTCCACAAATCTGGAAGCCTCCTTAAAAAAAAAAAAATGACATTGTCTATCCATTACGAATGACTGACTCCCTCTTCCTCTAAGCTAAATCACAAGATACTGATTAGGATAGAAATATAAAAGTAAACCAGTGTCTTCAGGGCTGACTGTTTGAGGCTTCAAAAGAAACAGATAAACATATCCACACAAGGGGACATGTGTAGAGATGTTCATTGCAACCCTGTTTATAAGACAACAAAATGCCCATTTGTGCTCAGCCTCTCAGTTGTGCCCACCTCTTTTGCAACCCCATGAACTGAAGCCCACCAGGCTCCTCTGTCAATGGGATTTTCCAGACAAGAACACTGGAGTGGGTTGCCATTCTCCAGGGGATCTTCCCGACCCAGGAATCAAACCCATGCCTCTTACATCTCCTGCATTGGCAGGCGTATTCTTTACCACTGAGCCCCATGGGAAGCCCAAATACCCATGAGTGGGGCTTCGAGGACCCCTGATCCATTAACACACTATAATACTATCCAAAGGTTCAGTGAATAAACTAGATCTCTATGTATCAAAAGAGGAAGGATATTAAAAACAACATTGAGTTTCGGGGGAAGTCACAGAATGTCATATGCAAGATTAACCAGTGGCTTTTATAAAATTTGTTTTGAATATCCAAAATAGCATACTCTTTATGGTTCCACATATGCAGTAAAAGTACAAAAATGTAGACTGAAAATGTAAGTACTAAATTCATAACAGTGACTCTCCCTGGCACAGAAATAGAGAAGGAATATGAAATTTCCTCTTTGACTTTACGGTTTTTTTCCTTCCATCTTGGGTGGGTGCCTTGTCCATGGAGATTTGACATATTCAACTTTATCTTTTTTGTATTTTTTTCTGAAATAAAAAAGATACAAGGGGCAGAAAAGCTATATGCTTGGAAATGCAATGATGAAAACTGTTTTGCAAAAATGCTCTTGGGGTTGGAAAACAACCCAGCATTATATACATTCTCGTTGTTGCTCAGTCACTCAGTTGTGTCCAACTCTGCAACCCCGTGGCTGCAGCCTGCCAGGTTCCTCTGTCTGTGGGACTTCCATGCAAGAATACTGGAGTGGGATGCCCTTTCCTTCTCCAAGAAATCTTCCTGATCAAGGGCTCAAACCCCTGTCTCCTGCATTGGGAGGAGCCACCAGGAAGGCCCTGCATGCGTTCTCATGGCTGCATTTAACAACTGTGTGGCATTCAGGGTTGTTGGTTAATAGTAAATGGAAGCACAACGCTGAGATATCTCTATCGTTTAATTCGTGGTTCATTTCCTTGCCACAAATATTATTTCTAAAATTTTATTTTCTCAAAATACTCTTTATATGTCCCATCAAGAAGGCCTTCTTTGCAAGCAAACAGTGGTGAATGAGTGCTGGAAACAGTGGAGAGCCGTCTTTTTCTTCCTATGTCTTCCTCTACTTGAAAAAAGAAAGAAATATCTGAAATAAAATGAACTTGGATTACTGTGTCAGTTAAACAACATGATGTCTTTAAGGCCACAAAATTTTTTGGGGGGGGCACAGCAGAGCATAATTATCATTATTTTCTCTAAATATTCTTTGCTTGAAAAATAACTGACTTTTGTCTCACATTAATTTTAAAGATCATAATGAATAGTGGATTTCTAAAAGACCTAAAGGCATTGTGGAGTGCTGATAAACACATTATTATGCCAGTAACCTACTGGATTCAGAGCTTCTCACTGCCCCTTGGGGGTTAATAGATAAATTCCACTGTTAGAAGGGGTACAAGTTGTGCTTCCACCCTGAAGGTCACAACAGGACTCACCTAGCCTCATGCAAAAACTGTCTTCTGCTTTTCTTGAAAGGGTGAAACTGGACCGCCAGGATTTCCAGGATCTATTGGCCCTAAAGGTGAAAAGGGAGAATCTGTAAGTATTTTAGCTTTGAGAGCAGAGGGAGAATATTCAAAAGATAGAATTAAGATATTTTTCTTAATCAACCCCAATTCCATGTGTGTTGGTTGTCCCTGGCATAAGGAACAATAGATCAGATATTTAGTCATGTTCCCTAAATGAGGTACTAAGTTTTTACATGTATTACCTCACTTAGTTCATTAAAAAAAAAAAATCCCCATCCTTCAGATGAGGAAACTGAGGCACAGAAAGGTTAAGTAACTTCCCTAAGGTCCCTAATCTAGGAAGTACTGAAACCATGAATCACTCCTAGGCAGGCTGATTCCAGAACCCAGGGTTTAAAAATCACTAAGCTGTCCTGCTATAACTAAAGATAATAGCTAAAATGGATAATAAAATCAGCTTATCAAAAGGGCTAATTTATAAAAAAAAAAAAATAGAGACGTTCATCTTTGCTCAAACAATTACTCTCAGTGTAGTCTCTGAAGTTATTCTAGGTTTTTATAGGTCAAAATAACTTCTTAAATATTACTGAGGCCAGATTCTTCCAAAATTTAGTTCTTTTGGTAGAAAAAAGTACCTTCAATATCATTTATATCCAAATGGGACTACCTAAAGAGATGACATGAATCCTAATTACAAAAATATATATTTTTTAATTCTGCTTAAAAAACAAAACCAAAACCCCACAGCAGCCCGCAAGAATCAGCAAGAATGACTTAACAAATGTTTCATCTTTGTTAAAAAAAAAAATGTAACACTTAAAAAAAATTCAGTTTTACCTCTTCCCTTGCTGGGATGAACAGAGATTATTGGTTGGCCAGAGATAAAAATGAAGAGGTCACTAAAATGCCTGTGTGCCTGCCAAATGGGAACAATGTGAAGAGTATTTAATATCACAAAGTCAAATTCTCCTTGTGCTTCAGCTTTAAAAATGAAACATCTTTGGCGATGATAGTCATTGTTCTGACAGCTTTAGAGTTCATGCTGTCCCCCTTGTGCTCCGAAGTTCTCCTCTTCAGGGGTCACTCTTGCCTTTGGTTTTCTGTCCAAACCAGTAACAGTCCTCACTGGGGTTCCATGCCTGAGACTTCCAAGACATTCTAGGAAATCTCCTCTCTCCCACAAATCAGCGTCAGGTCTGCTGTGCCTTCCATCTGCCAGCTGACTCCGATAACTCCACACTTATGGGCACCTCTCCTCACCTTTTATCTGCCCCTTGCCCCCAGCCTGTCTCCCCGCCACATTGGAGCACTGACACCTTCTCTTAATTTCCACATGCTGTGTGGCAAACCAGGATCTAAGATTTACTAAAATTCTACTGGAACAGCCGGGACTTGTAGAGCAGAAAGAGAAATTTGAGTGGATTAGAGCAGTGCCTCTCAGACTAAATGTGAACTTGAATTGCTGAAGATTCTATTGAAATGCTAATCCTAGTTCAGCAGGTCTGGGTAGCGGTTTATTACCAAACTCAAGTTCAGTTTATCTGCTCACTGCTCATAAGCCAACAGTTGCAGAGGCAAGTGTCAGAAGGAAAGGTGCTGTAATCAGAAAAGCCCGCAACCTGGGGAGAAGGTGGACTCATGTCCTGAGACCAACTCCCAAGATTCTTTTCAGCCAGGACAGTTTTTAAAGGGAAAAGAGCGGGGAGGGGGGCGGGGCGGCAAGAACCTCTGTGAAACATTGAGGCAAGAGGTTGGAATCTGAATCTTTTTTCCTTTGAGTGAAGACTGGCTGACTATCTCTTCAAATGTGATCTTGATGCATGACCTCCTGCAGCATTACCAAGGGGGCCATTGAGGGAGAGAGCTAGTCATTTTTTAATGGTTTAATTCTTCATTCTTTTTTATCTAGGAAAAAATTAATAGCTTAGGCAAGGTATGGCGTGCATTCAGGACAGCATAAGTCAGGAGTTAGTTCCAATTGCTTGGTGATCTCATTTTTATATTTAGGTTCTCTTAAGTTCAGAGGGGTACAGAAATGGGGAAGCAGGAAAGAGGCAAAAGAGCCGCTTTCAGACTGAGCAGGTGTATTTCTCAACGCACTCAGGCTGTGCTCCTGGCTGTGGATGCTGGGCCGTGCTATGAGCAGCAAGAACTGGGGAATTTCACAGTTCATGAAAGTCTACCTTAGCTTTCTGTCCTGTTACCAAGGCCCACCCCTGAGACCGCCTTTCTCCCCATCTACCTTACCCTCCCAGCTCTCCTCCTTGTCAGTTTCCTCTTAAGCTGTGAATTATCCCACCTTCCTTGTATTAATACATCTTTGCCTGCCTTTCTCCCAGCTTCCCACAGGAAAAAACACAAATGTCACATCACTAGTAAAGCAGTCTAGCTCTCTGTGGTCTCAGCCTTTCTATTCTGGAACAGGATCTGAACTTAACATGATAACCAGAAGGTCCAAACAGAAGAATAATCTTCATCCAAATCTGAACTCTGAGCCTGAGTGGTACTTTAAATGGCAGTTTGTCCCCTGTTACAGGACATTTACTACATGATTAGGTTAGATATCGGAGTGAAAATGTCATCTAGTTGAACCCCAGGATTTTATAGATAAGGAAAAAGAGGCTCCAAAATGTAAATGACTTGCCCCAGATAGTAGGCACTGGAATTAAAACAAAATATCAGCTCTCTAGACAACCAGGCTCCTGGTTTTGCTTTTTCTCCCCCAACTAGAAGTTACTTAATCACTGTGGCTTGGCAGAGGTTCTAAATAATCAGTGACATAAGTAATGTAACATAATCAGAAATAAGCAGTTTTAAAAGCAGTGCAGCCCATTGCTCACATCTCATTAACTTCATCTCCTATCTTAAAAATTGAATTGATTTTTAGTTAAGACTGAAATGCAAGAATATCAATGAAACTCTCTATATATCTAATATATAGAAACTATTCAATAAGAGATTTAATCATGTTGGACATATATGGGCTGTATTAGTCAGAGTAGGTAGTAAGTAACAAATTAACCCTAAAATTTCTGTGGTTTCACCCCAAGAAAAGCTTCCTCTTGCTCATGCTGCCCAGCCAGTGTGGTTGGTGGGGAGTGGGTGTCCTGCTCCACACGACCCTCAGTAACCAGTCAGCAGGCTGGTAAGCACCAGGGAGCTATGCCCTCTGATAGGCACAAACTTCTCAACCACCACTGCCAGGACAGAGGACTGGAGCGTGGTGAACGGTCTCCGCACGCCTCAGCCTTCAAATGCCCCGCAGCCCTGCCGCACTCATTTCACAGTCAGAATCAGCACCTTGCCCCCACGTAACTGCAGGGAGGTTGGAGACATGGGGGAGAAGACAGGGCCCCCGGAAGTCCCCGGGTCATGAGGTATGAAGTTTTTTCAGTAACCACTCACCGCCTTATGGTGATCTGAAGGTCAAATCTTTACCAGGACCTTTGAGAGCAGCACTGCCTCGCATAGTGGTCCTCAGCCTTTCCGTTGACTTTCAGATGCAAAATAAAATGTTTTAAAATGTATGGTGGGAGGGGGGACCGGGATGGGGAATACATGTAAATCCATGGCTAACTCATTTCAGTGTATGACAAAAACCACTGCAATGATGTAAAGTAATTAGCCTCCAACTAATAAAAATAAATGGAAAAAAAATAAAAATTAAAAAAAAAATAAAATGTATGGTTTCCGTCTTATGATCCATTCACTCAATTCACATAATAAAGCAATTAAATTATAAATAAAATCAAACAGACTGAGTAAGCAAAGTCTGATATTGAAGCCAGGCTGCCTGGGTTTAAATCCTCAATGACTTCTTACTGGCTTTGTGACCTTGGGGAAATGAACTAACTTCCCTGTGCCTCAGTTCCCCCTCTGTAAATGAATGTACTAATAGTAACTATCCTGTTGACCCAAGAGGTTAATTGTATTAATGTATATAACGTGATTAGAACAGGTTCTAATACACTGTAAGAATTCAATAAATGTCAGCAATTATTGTTTTATCTGTAAAACTTTAAATTCCCTAATTTAATAAATTTCATTGGACAGCAGAAGTGTACCCCAGAGATGCTATGATATTCAAGGTGAATTGTATGTCTTCATTCACAGATTTTGTAGGCAAGATAAACAAGGGAACAGGGAACATACAGTGGGTGAATGCTGCTTTAGGAAAAACATTAATAACTTAGGGTTACTCAGAACCTTTCTGAATCTCTTCTCATTCTGGTAGTGGGACGATATCTCCCTCACAGCAGGGTAGTGAAGGTTAAATGACACCACAATATGTACCTTCAAGAACAGAAGCTAATACAGGGAAGCCTCCCCATCTGTGTGTGTGTGTATTGAGGATGGGTTGTGTTGTTAGTAACACAGTGACCATGGGGAAAGTGTTGCATAATAAGACGCATTCCTTCAAAGCTTTGACTCCCACCAAAACCTTCAAGCCTAAACCCAACAACAAGAACTAGTATCAGTTCCACAGACTTGTACTGTTATTCACCCAATAATTAACCCCTTCATGTCATTTTCATTAAAAAGAAAGTGAAAATTAGTATGTATTTTTACAGTAATGACTTTGTAATTTTAAACACTAATTTAGAACTCTGGCTATATTTTTTAAGCACCAACTTAAGTAACTGGAAGAATTCAAATGAATGTCCTTCCACTTATCACTCCAGCATCTTCACATTCAGTCTGCCTCTGTTTGTGTGTGTGTGTGTGTGTGTGTGTGTGTGTGTATGTGTGACCATCTTCTCTTTGAACCACACCAGAGGAAGCTTTGGCCTTGGACCACATTCTAATTTGTTAAGCACTCAGGATTCTCAAAATAATATTAAGATGATTAAGTTACTGTTCATTTGGGAATATTAAAGGGTTTTCTAATTCAGGTGCATATTGTTCTTCTAAGCTGCACAGGCAGACAATGGGACGTTCTGGGTCATTACATGTTTGCAGCGGAGGTCTGAGTTTGACCTGCAGGATTTGTTCATATCCAGGTTTGGAGAGATTATTTTTTAAAGTATTTATAGTTGATTCTTTTTCTATGCATTTTCTTAGGGGGAACCCTTTACAAAAGGTGAAAAGGGAGATAAAGTAAGTAGATGTTTTATCACTATCTTGGGTTTTCTATTTCATTGATTTCTTCCTCTCTGATTTCTATCATGTTTACTTTAGAGCCTTATAGATTTGCTAAGATAAGCTCCCTGAGCATTCTTCTTTTTCCTCTGTGAATTTTGACTCTTTTATTTTGATAAGTATGAAATTTTAAACCTTGTTAAGTTTTATCATGTAATAATACTTCAACATTTAATTCAGATAGTGTTTATTTTCTGTAACACATTACTGTTTGTGATTAGACATGAATGTAATGAAAGATATTCACCAAGGACATTTAAAGTACAAAATTATTGTGTAAGATACAGTTTTTCTGAGGGATCAGGTGGAGAGGGAGGTGGGAGGGGGGGGTCGGGATGGGGAATACATGTAAATCCCTGGCTAATTCCTGTCAATGTATGACAAAAACCACTACAACATTGTAAAGTAATTAGCCTCCAACTAATAAAAATAAATGAAAAATAATTAATTAATTAATTTTTTAAAAAAGATACAGTTTTTCCAAAATTTCTGTTAATGCTATAAATTGGATTTACCAAACAGGATGGTTTTATCAAAAGGCTCAATGATAGGTCCACTTTGGTGGTCCAATGGTTAAGACTCCAAGCTTCCAGTCCAGGGAGTGCAGGTTTGATCTCTACTCTGGGAAATAAGATCCTGTTGAACAGCCAAAAGGAAAAAAAAAGGTTCAGTGATTAAGTCATGGAAAATCATTTAATTAAAGTGAACTCTTTGTTGCCAACTTTGTACTCTTTTGTATAACCTTAATTTTTTGTTTGTTTGTTTCATTAAATACATACACCTGATAGTAGAACCTCCATGACATATCAATTTAAATTCTACTCTTTCTTTTTCACCCTTATCTGAAGTTTTATTTCTCTGAACTGTAAGATTAGCTGGTGACAAATCATAACAATGTCAGTTGAGTAGAGGACACAGTGACTGTTAATGTACCATGATGATTAAAGTGTCAAAAGTGAGATTTGGGAAAAACTGTTACAGAGAAGAAAGAAAAATAAGAAATTATTGTTTATTAGCAATTATTATTTTAAATCGTGTTTTAGGATGAACGCTTCTTGACTTCATCATGTCTCCATAATTTCCTCTTTTATCGCATGTCAGCCAATGAAAGTGTAAATGAATTGTAGCATTAGAGACCCTGTCCTCCATCTGAATTTAAACACATGTATGGTGATTATTTCATTTGCAGGGAGAACCTGGAATAACAGGATCACAAGGAATAAAGGTAATCCCCTGACAGCCTTCTCTTGTATCTCCAACATATTGAGATTGTGAAAATTAAAGTAACCATTTCTTTCCCACCCATATGTTTAGGGCGAGCCTGGAGATCCTGGTACACCTGGTGTAATTGGAAGCCCAGGACTAAAGGTACATAAGAAATAACTCAGGGAAATGTGGAAGTTGTTTTGAAGGTATAGCCATTTCTGTGTAAACCAAGGAGCTCTGATGTACCACTCACTTTCATCACAAATGTCAGGGACTTTATCATGTTTTCATAGCGATTCCCCCCACAGACACATTCCCATACTGGCTCCTGTATTGGTACACTCCCGTACCATTGCACACGTGGTACCTCTGTCTTTTGGATCACAATAGGATCTTTAAGTACTTTTCAGACCATATTCACAATAGCATCCCTGAAAGCTTTAAGAGTAAAAAATACAAGTCACATCTATGACCCTGTTTCCTTAAAGAGAACAGGATTTAATTTCCTAAGCCCAAATTCTGCAGCCCACAGGCACTTGAGTTTCCCACACAGGATTCTATAGGACTGTCCCAAAGGAGGCCCACTGCTAGGAGGCATGAGAAGGATTGGTGTAATGTGCCCCCACCCGTGTGTACAGAGAGTTATCCAGACCTCATCTACTGGTGAGAACATGCACATGTGCTCAGTTGCTAAACCGTGTCTGGCTCTTTGAGACCCCATGGGCTGTAGCCCACCAGGCTCCTCTGTCCATGGATTTTCCAGGCAAGAATACTGGAAAGGATTGCCATATCCTCCTCCAGGGGTATCTTCCCAACCCAAGCATCAAACCCACATGAGAACAGACTCATTTAAGTGACAATGTCTTGAAACTGTAAGCCCAAAGCACATTTCAGTATTACACAGAGAAGCCTGGATACTTTTCTATAGATAAAGGTCACACCACGTTTTATGTATATTCAGGTACAGACTCTAGTTTTAGCACAATTAAAGTATATATCTCCTTCTCTTTTAGGGTCAACAAGGACCTGCAGGCTCTGTGGGACCCAGAGGACCACCAGGAGATATTGTATGTATAGTAGATGCACGTGTCATTTTAGAGAATGTCAGCATCTGTTCATGCAGATGAGTTATACTGCATTTTCCAAGAGCAGGGGTCATCTCCACCACTGAAACTGATCACACCTATTGTCAGAGGCTGTTAAGAAGGCTCATATCTCTATTTAGTTATGTGAGATCCTTTTGAATATTATTAACCTAACAAATCAATCTTTAAAGCCCAGGTTAACATTTCCACTATACATCATTATACATGGCTTTTGATTAAATTCTCCATTCAAGAAAGACATTTGCTAAGCTTCTATTGTTGTATTCTTGCAGAAGTCTCCAAAAAGGGGGCAAATCTTTTAGCTGAAAATACTTCTATAATGCAATTGGAAAAAGGTCCTCAGGTGCATTATAGCCTAGCTTTGCTGGACTCACAGTTCCCTCTCTCTCTCTCTCTATCTCTCTCTCTCTCTCTCACACACACATATATATCCTCATACCCCTTAAATGCACTGTTTTTCTCTTTTTACTGGATTATACTTTATTTAGAGTATTAGTTTCAGGTGTACATCATAATAATTCAGTATTTTTATAGATTATACACCATTTAAAGTGACTTCAAAATAATGGCTAAATTCCCTGTGTTGTACAGTACACCCTTCTTGCTTATTTATTCTACACACAATAGTCTGTATTTCTTAATCCCTTTCATCTACCTACCCCCTTCCCTTTCTCCCACTGGTAACTAGTTTGTTCTCTATATGTGTGAGTCTGTTACATATGGTTATAGTCATTCATTTTATTTTTTATATTTTATTTTTATATTCCACATATTATTTTTATGTGGAACTATTTTTATTTTATTATTTTATTCCATATTTTATTTTTATATTCCACATATAGTGATAACATGCAATATTTGTCTTTGACATTTCATAAAGCACAATACTCTCTAGGTCCATCAACACTATTGCAAATGGCAAAATTTCCTTCATTTCTATGATCAAGTAGCATTCCACTATATATATATATGATAACCTTCTTATCCACTTATCTGTTGATGGACACTTAGGTTTCTCCCATATCTTGGCAATTGTAAATAATGCTCCTAGGAACACTGAGGTGCATGTATCTTTTTGAATTACTATTTTCATTTCCTTTGAATATATAACCAAGAGTGGGGTTGCTGAGTTATTAGGTGATTGTCTTTTAGATTTTGAGGAACCTCTATCATGATTTCTCTAGTGGCTGTACCAATTTTCATTCCTACCAGCATTGTATTCAGGTTCTCTTTTTGCAACATCCTTTCAAACATTTGTTATTTACAGAATTTTTGATGATAGCAATTCTGATGGGTGTGAAGCAATACCTTACTGTGGTTTTGATATGCATTTCTCTAGATGATTAGCAGTTTGGAGCATCTTTTCATGTGCCTGTTGGCCATACGTATGTCTTTTTGGAAAAATGTCTATTCTGGTCTTCTGCTCATTTTTTAAGCAGGTTGTTTTTCTTAATATTGAGTTGTAACCTCTTATCAGCCATATCATTTGCAGATATTGTCTTCCATTCAGTAGGCTGTCTTTTCATTTTGTCCATGGTTTCCTTTGCCATGCAAAAACTTTTAAGTTTAATTAGGCCCTGTTTGTTTATTTTTGCTTTTGTTTCCTTTGCCTTAGGAGACAGATTCAAATATATTGCTAAAATTTATGTCAAAGAGTGTTTGCCTATTTTTTCTTTTAGGAGTTCTATGGTTTCAGGTCTTATCTTTGAGGCTTTAATTAAGCTTGAGTTTATTTTTTTATATAGTTTGAGAAAATGTTCTAACTTATTCTTTTATATGTAGCTGTTCATTTTTCCCACTTATTGAAAATGCTGTCTTTTCTTTACTGTATATTCTTGCCTCCTTTGTCATAAATTAAGTGACCATTATTTGGTTTATTTCTGAGCTATCCATTCTGTCACATTAAGCTATGTGTCTGTTTTTGTGCCAGTACCATACTGTTTTGATTACTGTAGCTTTGTAGTATAGTCTGAAGTCAAAGAGTATGATATTTCCAGCTTTGTTTTTCTTTCTCAAGATTGCTTTGGCATTAGGGATTTTTTGTGCTTCCATATTAATTTTAGGATTATTTATCCTAGTTCTGTGAAAAATAACTTGGTTACTTTGATAAGGATTGCATTAAATCAGTAGATTGCTTTGGGTTGTATGGATGTTTTAACTGTATTAATTCTCTCAATCCACGAACACAGAGTATTTTTCCATTTCTTTATATCTTATTTGGTTTTCTTCATCAGTGTTTTATAGTTTGTAGAGTATAGTTTTTTCACCTCATTGGTAAAGTTTTTTCCTAGATATTTTATTCTTTTTCATTCAGTTTTAAATGGAATTGTTTTCTTGCTTTCTCTTTTGGATGGTTTATTATTAATATATAGAAAAGCAATAGATTTCTGTATATTAACCTCATATCCTGCAGCTTTACTGAATTCATTTATTAGTTCTAATAGTTCTTTTGGTGGAGACTTTAGGGTTTTCTATATATAATATGTCATCCACGAATAGTGACAGTTTTAGTTATTTCTTTCCAATTTGGATGCCCTTACAATGGAGAAAAGATTGCCATTGTTCAGTCACCCAGTCATGTTTGACTCTTTGTGACCCCACAGATTGCAGCACACCAGGTCTCTCTGTCCCTCACCATTTCCCAAAGTTTACCCAAGTTCATGTCCATTGCATCAGTGATGCCATTCAGCCATCTCATCCTCTGATGCCTTCTTTTCCTTCTGTCCTCAGTCTTTCCCAGCATCAGGGACTTTTCCAATGAGTCAGCTGTTTGCATCAGATGACCAAAATACTGGAGTTTCAGCTTCAGTCCTTCTAATGAGTATTCAGGGTTGATTTCCCTTTAGATTGGCTGGTTGGTCATCTTGTTGTCCGCCGGGCTCTCAGGAGTCTACACCAGCACCACAGTTCGAAGGTATCAATTCTTCAGCACTCCACCTTCTTGTAAGACCAGAAACTACAAAACTCTTAGAGGAAATCAAGCAGAACACTGATGTAAATCACAGCAATTTGGATGCCTTTTATTTCTTTTCTTTTTCTGAGTGCTATGGCTAGGACTTCCAATACTATGTTAAATAGAAGTGATGAGAGTGGGTGTACATGTTTTCTTCCTGATTTTAGAAGAGAAGTTTTCAAGCTTTTCACCACTGAATATGTTAGCTTTGAGTTTGTTATAAATGGTGTTTATAATATTGAGATATGTTCCCTCTATACCAACTTGGATGAGCATTTATCATGAGTGGATGTATGCTTTTTCTGCACCTTTTGAGATTATCATGATTTTTATCATTTTGTAAATGTGGTATATCACATTGATTGCTTCATGGATATTGAAACATCTTTGGATTCCTGGAATAAATCCCATTTGATCGTGCTATGTGATTACTTTTATATATTATTGAATTCAGTTGCCACTAATCTCTTGTTGAGGATTTTCACATCTGTATTCATCAGAGGTGTTGTTGGTTATTTAGTCCCTAAGTCATATCTAACTCTTTTGAGACCCCATAGACTGTAACTTAACAGGCTCCTCTGTCCTTGGGATTTCCCAGACCATACTCGTGTGCATTGTCATCTCCTTCTCCAGGGGATCTTCCCAGCCCAAGGACCAAACTTGTGTCTTATGCTTGACAAGCAGATTCTCTACTACTGAGCCACCACGGAAGTCCTTCATCAGTGGTACTGGACTGTAACTTTCTTTTTTGGTGTGGTTTTGGTATCAGAGTAGCAGTGGCCTCATAGAATGAATTTGGGAGTATTTCTTCCCCTTTAGTTGTTAGTAATCTTGAAGGATAGGCATTAGCTCATTATATGTTTGGTAGAAATCACTTGCGAAGCTGTCCAGTTCCAGTTATTTACTTTCTGTAATTTTATAATTATTATTATAAACTCAATTTCACCACAGTGACCAGCCTGTTCAGATTGTCTATTACTTCCTGATTCAGTGTTGGGAGATTTTATGTTTCCACAAACTTGTCTACTTCTTCTAGGTTGTCCAATTTGTTGGCATATAACAGTAGTGTTCTTTTACTATTTTTTTGTATCTTCATGTTAATGGTTGTTATTTCTCATCTTTCATTTCTTATTTTGTTTATGTGTGTCCTCTCACTTTTTCTTGATGAACTCTCATGAAAAGTTTACCACTTTTGTTTATCTTTTCAAAAAATATAGATGTTTGTTTTGTTGATCTTTTCTATTGTTTGGTGACTTTGGGTCTTTATTTCATTTATTTCCTCTCTGATCTTTGTTATTTCCTTCTGCACACTTTTGATTTTGCTTGTTCTTCTTTTTCTAATTCCTTCAGTTGGTAGGCTTGGTTTTTTTATCTGATATTTTTTTCTTGTTTCTCAAGTTAGCTTATATCACTACAAACTTTCCTCTTAGAACTGCTTTTGCTGTACCCCATAGATTTGGGAAAGCAGTGCTTCCATTTTTATTTGTCTTGATGTGTTTTCTGATTTTCTTTTGATTTCTTCATTTTCATACTGTTTTTTTAGTAGCATGTTGTTTAGTCTCCATGTTTTTGTGTTTATCCCATTTTTATTCCTGTAATGGATTTCTAATTTCATGCCATTTTGGTTAGAAACAATGCTTGATACAATTTCTACTCTCTTATACTTATTAGGACTTGTGTTGTGGCCCAGCATGTGATTTAGCCTAGAGAACATTCCTTTTCTATCCTTTCCCTAATGTCAGCCTTGTGTCCCTTGGACAAGTTCCCTGGCCTTCTGACATCTTGGGAGTCAAAACCTCTCCATCAGTCCTCACTTAAGCAAAACAAGGAAGATGCTGCTTGGACACTGACCTGTGTCTGACAATTTGATTATGCTCCATGAAACTGTTAGAATCTCTCCTTTTCCCATCATTTTGGCAGCAACCCCTTGACATCTTGCTCTATTATCAATGTTCCCAGACTGAGCCTCTAGGGTTTCATCCCTCAGCGCATTTGGTCATTTGCTACTTTGAACATTCAGTTCACGGAGCAAAACATTTTTGTTGTGCCCCAAGCCATTTGGTGAACCATTGCAGGTGAGCCTAATGGAGAGATCTTACAAAAAACAAAATGCTGCTGGCACAGGCAGAACCACGGGATATATAAGAAATGAGGTTACATGATAGGGACTAGGCTAATAAAAAGAACAAAATAAAAAGATAAAATGCCTCTGCCGCCAAGTTGAAGTAGAAGTATATTTTCTGTTTATCCCATTTGGGGAAGTAATATGGATGGGCATTTGGTTAAGTTCTCCCTTATTTAGATTTTTTTTTCCATTATATCCAGGTTTCCTCACTTGAAACAATAAGCCACATACTTTCATTAATGTTTTTCTCTCTCCAAGAGACCGAAATCAGTACATTCCCATATGTTAAAATTTAGTTCTCCTGACAAAGACTCAGAGATAGAAATGTTTTTACAATAAGAAATGTTCTAATTGCTCTTGCCCTTTAATTCTGAATTTTCTAGGGGTTACCCGGAGAGCACGGTATCCCAGGCAAGCAAGGCATTAAAGGAGAAAAGGTATAGCTTCTGTTTCACTCCCTTTGTGTATTAAGTGGCTGAGGAAGAGTTTGAGACAGGATCGTAAGGGCTTTGAAGAGTGAGCATGGACAGGACACGGCGGCCGGGGCTGCGCAGGGGATAGATGTTCACACGGACTGTGCAGGAATGGTTTCTCTGGAGCTGTTCACTGTACACAATGCGACAGAATGAACTGCTGTGGAGATGAAGATCTCAGAACTTGAAAAGTCTGCTTTATGCTCAGCTATAGGTATAGACAGCACAGGTATAGACCTAAGAAGTCTCAAATCTCGTGACACATTTCTTGATGTCTACAAGAAAATAGTTTATTAATATTGAACCATTACTTGAGAATAACTTAAAATGTAAAAATTATTTGAAGAATAGATTTTCCCCTCTGTGCATCTGTCTATTCACTTACATACATTTCAGGAGGCCATAAACTTATTCTAACATAGCTCTCCACAAGATCCAAGTGCACTTAGAACAGTGTCTGTGTGGATTGGGTGCTCGGTGTACATTGTGAAATGAGTGAATGAGCGAATGCAGTGTGACTGACTTGATGACAATTTAAAATATGGAAGCTGTTGCTGCCACACCCCCCACCGTGAACCTGAGCCGTGAAGTGAGACTCTTACCTTGTTTCCTCAGGGAGACCCAGGTGGGATTACAGGTCCTCCTGGCCTTCCAGGTCCAAAAGGTGAGGTTGGTCCTCCAGGAAAAAGCCTGCCAGGGGAACCAGTAAGTAGCAACCCTTTTACTAATATTTCCTTTGAAAGCCAATTAATCACTGTTTGTGTACTCCCTGTTTCTGACCACAAGTATAGGAATAAGTTTAGGTCTGCAGAAAAAAAGAAGCATTCATCTTATTCTTTAGATCAGAGTTCTAATCCTTTTGGAAATTTGATCCAAACAAAGGTCTCTCTTCTGAAGACAATGCACATACACGCACCATTTTACATACAATTTTGGAAGAAGCCCCACCCCACCCCCCGAATCTTCTTTAGGGATCTAAGAAGCCTAGTAAGGTATGCTAGTTTTAAAACATGAACCTTCCTTGGACAATCTTAAGACAAACAAACTGCTTGAAATTTCCCTTCTAGAGGCTCTGCATATATGGCCATAGGCAGTCATCAGTTAAAAAAAAAAGTCCTTTGGCCAGGGCTAATCCCAGGACATAGAAAGCTGCTAACCCATATGCCTATTTCATATGCCTTTTTTCCCTCATCCCCTTTGACCTTTTATGTAATAATAACAAACAGTTCTCAATATCAGATGCCTCATTTTAAAGATGAAAACATCTTATATTTTAAAGTAACTGTACCAAATTTATAACCTAGTAAAATTTATATTCCCTCTTCCTTATTCTTTTACAGAAAAAGGTTTATGCAAAAAAGATAAAGAGCAATGAAATATTTTTGAGTTATAACTCCTAAGATGTAAGTAAACTTTTTAGAAAAAGAAAATATATTCACCTCATTTTCTTATTTTTTAGGGATTAGATGGAAATCCTGGGGCACCTGGTCCACGAGGCCCAAAGGTAAAATATCAAATATAATTTTTAAAGAATTAATAATTTGCAAAATATGCCTCGAAAATTCATGTCCCTCGAGCCTCTCACTAATAGAAGCATCTCATTGCATAGGGGGAAAGAGGACTGCCAGGTGTCCAAGGCTCGCCCGGTGATATAGGCCCCCCAGGGATAGGAATTCCTGGCCGAACTGTAAGTGAAATTCAATCAAGTTCGTGAAACCCAGTTGACCTGTTACTGTGAAATAAGATTCTGTGACATATCTGAATAATAGAAAAGAGTGAAATGGTCAGAGGAGGAAATACAAAAAAATGCTAGTCAGAGGGCATGAATTAATGGGCCTTGTAGTTACATCCTAACACAGAAGGTAGCCACTGTTTATTGACTTACAGATGCTAATCACACATAACTGATTTTTGAATTAGAAAACGTGGACTTAACCCTTTATTCCTCCATTCTATATATTAAAAAGTACAAACTCATGTTTACAAGATTATGAGAATGCCCCAATATTAGGTTATTCTATATTACTGTTTTCAATTAGAATAAAATGAAAACTTAATTTTTTTAATTTATTTTTATTAGCTGGAGGCTAATTACTTTACAATATTGTAGTGGGTTTTGTCATACACTGACATGAATCAGCCATGGATTTACATGTATTCCCCATCCGGTCCCCCCTCCCACCTCCCTCTCCACCCGATCCCTCTGGGTCTTCCCAGTGCACCAGGCCCGAGCACTTGTCTCATGCAACCAACCTGGGCTGGTGATCTGTTTCACTATAGATGATATACATGTTTTGATGCTGTTCTCTCAAAACATCCCACCCTCGCCTTCTCCCGCAGAGTCCAAAAGTCTGTTCTGTACGTCTGTGTCTCTTTTTCTGTTTTGCATATAGGATTATCATTACCATCTTTCTAAATTCCATATATATGTGTTAGTATGCTGTAATGTTCTTTATCTTTCTGGCTTACTTCACTCTGTATAATGGGCTCCAGTTTCATCCATCTCATCAGAAGTGATTCAAATGAATTCTTTTTAATGACTGAGTAATATTACATGGTGTATTTTAATGGAGTGCATATAAATGGGACATCAAAAATCTCTATGTGTTATCTTAGAGAAGAGATCATAGAAATTGTTTGTGATAGTTAAGACAGATAATAGCCAGTTTTTGACAGGTTTTTGCTATAAGCATAATAGTGACCATTGTATGTATGCTTGTGGACTAAATAGCAGTAAGAAATAAAATTTTATATTTACTATGAAAAAACATAAAAGATTTTTACACAAGAAAAGTGAGATAGATGGTTATTCTGATGACATTAATTTGGGAATTGGCCTTGAAATAAAATTATCCTGAGAGGTAAAAGAAGATGTAAATAGTGAATGGTTGCAGTGTTTGATTTTCCAGGGCAAGAAGGTAAAGACCACTGGCGATGGGAGGTTAAAGAAAGTAAAAAGGTAGTTTAGGAAATTATTAGGGGAGTGAAGGAGGTTGAAGCAAAAAATAATGATAATAAACCAACAAACCAAAAATAACTTAAGCACACAGAATAAATAGCAAAGAAGCAAAAAAGTAGCTTTGACAATATGAATATTTATTTCAAAGTAAGAAGAGAGAAGGCAGCAAGCAGGTAGTGAAGTCAGGTACTGGGACCCCGGCTCGTTGCTCACCCAGGTAGTCAGTCACTTCTTCCGCCAGAGGTCCATAGTCATGCAGTAAGCAAGGATTTGTCATCATTAGGTTCACCGATAATCTTCAGACATGTTTTAGTTAGTGCAGATTCCAGCTTTCTAACATAGGAAAGAATAGTTGATTGAAGTTTTATTTCCTACTCCTATCACTGAAAACGGTTCTGGCAATTTCTCCAGGGAAAGGACTTACAGTGAAAAGCAGGAAGGAAGGAAGCCTGAGCTGGTTACCCTGGGGGTGGTCAGTGTCTGCCAGATAGGACTCGGATGTGATGTTTATGCAGTCATGGGTGTGCAGGAACCGTGGCAAGGCCAAGACGAATGTCCCAGGCATCCAGGCGTGGTCATGGTGGTACCTCCAGCGCTGCATTTGGTCAGGGGTCTACCTGCCACCCAGAACTCTTAGCCTGCTTTGCAGAGAGTTTTCAGGGTGTGCATGGTGGCGAGCCCTGCTGCTCCACTAAGTACAGGGCAGTATTTGTTCCTTTATCCCTTGTGGATAATTTATGGACATTCCCAGCAGAATTATGATCACTGAATCTCCTTCTACTCAGGGTTCCCAGGGACCAGCTGGAGAGCCAGGGATTCAGGTAAGCTACTTAACCAAGCTATTTGGCATAGCAAATCCACTTTGCTGACCCGGGGGGAAATTACTGAAGTTGTGTCCTTGTAAGTAACTATTTTCCCCCTTTTGCAGGGTCCTCGAGGTCTCCCTGGGTTGCCAGGGACTCCAGGGACCCCAGGGAATGATGTAAGGGCAATTTTTACCTGCTTTCCCTCTCCCCCGCACCTGTTTTAGTCTGCTCTTGTGTCACGGTGCAAAGGTTTGAACATGATGTTTCTGTTTTCAGGGAGCTCCAGGGAGGGATGGAAAGCCAGGTCTGCCAGGCCCCCCAGGTGACCCGGTATGTTGACAGACTGTGCCTGATTTATGTATCTTTAATGCACCCAGAAGCCAAACAGCCTACCAAGCAAGTTTTACTGTCCAAACTAATTAGAATGCTCAGTGACTGCTTGGTGATTTTGTTTATCCCCATTATTTTCTAAAGGGGAAAAAAATTCAAGCTACATCAGCATTTTTGTGTGTGTGGTGAATACTTATTTCCTGAAGGCATAATTCAGTTGTACAATTTTGCCCCAAGTTGAACCTTGTCATATAGTGTCTCAATCCCATGGAAAACTGAGTTAAAATACATAGCCACAGATTCTATTCTTTGTAATGCTAGTGTCCAAATGAATTTCATTTTTCTCAATGAATGTTTGTGGATAAGTTTCCCACAATATGGTACATATCTATTGATTCTGTGGCTTTAAAACTGCTGAAATGATTAAATTACAAAACTGCCTTGAATAGGCTCTTTCAAAATGGGTTTAGGCACTAAATATGTGTCCAAAGTTTTATTTTAGGTTAAACTTTGCTTTGAGAGACTGTGAGATCCCTTTAAATAGCCTCAGAATCGGCAGTTATAATTTAAGATGCCATATGGTACATGACATTGTATTAAGAATTTTGTATAATAAAATCCAAATCTAACCTCTCAGTTCTAAGTCTCACAAATCCTTCTGCTTCCCACACCATGCAGGCCTTACATGCCTTCATAAGCTATGTGCAGAGACATATTTTGGCCTTTAACTCCCCAATGTAGTGAATCATGTGTGTATTGTCTGGGAGTCTAAAGCATTACTAGGGTTTATGGTGTCTCTCTGAAATGACATTTTAAGACACGAGGCCAAAGCTCTGCCTGAGTCTCCCAATGTCTAGTTTGCCTATTACTTAAGCCACCTATTGACTCTTTTGAATTCAATGAGGAACAGCTTTAAGGCAAACATCCTGTACTTTCCATATTTCTCAACAGCCTGATGATTTGCTTGGCAGAGCAATTTTAACAAATGATTTGTCTTTATGTATAATTTAAAACCAATAATATGTTAAGGTTGGCATGACGGTTGCCTGGCATGACTCAGAATTGAAACGATGACATGTGTGTGTTTCCGTGTTCATGGTAAAGAAATGGTATTTCTCTACTTCTCAAAAACGGTTATGAATTCTGTTAGTGTCCTGTATTTGTTTCTGGATAGGAAGCCTCATGTTAGCCAACCGTCATGATGGCAATGGCGAGGCTCTTAGAAGCCTTATGAGAAATCTCAGCTGCCCAGCATTTTGAGGGAAAATATCTACATTTGTTGTATGTTTGTATTGTAAGTGCCTGTATATGTCTAAATACCTGTATTTGGTTTTTTTCTTCTTATCCACAGATTGCACTTCCTCTCTTGGGAGACATCGGGGCCTTGTTCAAGGTATTCTGTTGCCATGTAAGAAATTGTGTGCTAATTTCCAGGAAAAATCAGAAAGGAAATCTTTACCAGAGGTTGAGTTAGCCTGAACTAAAATTCCATTTTTTTTAAATGGTAGAGCATCTTTCAGACAGAAAAAGGAACATGGATCCATCTGTGTCTTGTGCCATTGGTACTAATCCCCTGACTCTCTTTCTTTACCGGCCTCTCATGTTGACAGTGGGGGCACAGGGAGGAGTGGGTAGTTCTGAGGTGAGCTATGAGTTCTGAGGTGAGCTATGAGTTCTGAGGTGAGCTATGAGTTCTGAGGTGAGCTATGAGGAGTTCTGAGGTGAGCTATGAGTTCTGAGGTGAGTGGGTAGTTCTGAAGTGAGCTGTGAGCTATGAGTTCTGAGGTGAGTGGGTAGTTCTGAGGTGACCTATGAGAGGAAGAGTGCCATTAACACCCTGAGCGGACCGTTCTTTCCCTGGAGTGAGCTTTCTCTTAATGGTGTTCACCACCCCCTGGGCTCTCCACTGCGAAACCCAGTTCTCCTCACAGTATCTTCCCTGGCCAGTCCAGAAGGAAAAGCTGCTCAAGAAACAGCTAGTTTGAAGGCTGAGTTTTATGTCATGGGATTTTACAAAGTGCATTACAAAATTCCAAAGCTGACAATTAACCCTAACACCTGTGACTCTGCTAACACTACTCATTTAGTAGATGACTCCACTAAATAAAGATAATCTCTACCGATTATCCACCTCCTAGGGAATTAATCTCACTGCCGTTGTTTTCTGTAATACTTCCCTTTATTTGATTTGTAAAACAGATGGGGCAGGATGATAATGGAACATATGTAGGTTTTGTGTTTGCCTGTCTCTTTGTGGAATGCTAAGACTGAACCCTTTACATTCCACTGAACCTCATGTGTAGTATCTGTCAATGTATGAATGGACAGTATATTTGTATACACACACACGGGCTACAGGGCTCCCCTGGTGGCTCAGCTGGTAACGAATCTGCCTGCAATGCAGGAGACCTGGGTTTGATCCCTGGATTGGGAAGATCCCCTGGAGAAGGGAAAGGCTACCCACTCCAGTTTGGCCTGGAGAATTCCATGGACTATATAGTCCATGGGGTTGCAAAGAGTTGGACACGACCGAGCGACTTTGATTTTCACATGGGCTACATGTATGTATGTGTGATTTATTTTATATTCCTAGTATTTAGCCCTGGAGAAGGAAATGGCAACCCACTCTGGTATTCTTGCCTGGAAAATCCCAGGGACAGAGGAGCCTGGTGGGCTACTGTCTGTGGGGTTGCACGAAGTCGGACACGACTGAAGCAACTTAGCAGCAGCAGCATAGTGGGAAAGAATCTGAAACGATGTGTATCTACATATACCTGAATCACTTTGCCATGTACCTAAAATTAACACAGCATTGTAAATCAACTACACTTCAGTTTTTAAAAAATCAATTGAATAATCCATTCTAAAATGCTGCTATTTATTGCCGAAGTCTACAGATACAGTAATTCACCTTCTTTATACTTTTTGAAATATGGAAAGCTTTTTGATTCTCCTAAGTCCTCAAGCATCTCACTACCTTCGTAGTTTTTCAGATTTAATAGTTGTCATCCTACAATTAGGTGTGTGTTTCTTAACTCCTTACCAGCACATTAACTAAATGAAATGATCCTGGTGGTCAAATTGGTTTGGGAAACTTTGCACACTCCAGCTCCTTCTAATGTTTTCCAGCACTAAGAAGGACCACCATAAAGAGAATTGTTCTAACCCAGCATTTTTTAGGCAAATTGCCTCAGAATCTTTTCAATACCATACAAAATTAGTCTTCCACGGAGCACATGTTTGGAAATCAAACTTGTCCACATATACACTGGGTCAAAATATTGAACTTGAATAATCATGGGCTTTTTGTCAACTTCCCATCAATGGCAAATTTCAGTTCCCACTTCATGTTTAAAGATTTTCCACTTGGTTAAAAGGATGAAAGAATAGAGGCTTCTATTGTCCTACCTTTGGTCAGTTGTTAAATTTAAACTATCTCCCCCACTCAGTGGTCCCTATTTTATGCCTTTCCTGAACATATTTTTATAACAATGTATTTAAAAATAAGCCTCTGTAGAGCTTTACATGATAAGAAGTTTATCTTGTGAGCTCAGACACCTAAATTCAGGCCTTTCCAGATCAGCTAAAGATTACAGAGAAGGGGACGGAAAGGTAATTCCACTTAGATTTCCTATCTGCACTTGGATATGACTTAGAAGTCAAGTCCAAGTCACTCAAGTAATTACTTCCCACATGAGTGCTTCAACTAACAAAATGTTAGAAAGCTGTGTATAGGTTTCCAACTGATTGGGCTCTCAGAAGGAAAAAAATCCTTTCTTCACAGCTTTCTCTTTTTTTCTTTCTTTTTTAAGGATTTATGCTCTTGGTTGTATGAACTCTGTGATCTTGCTGATTATTCCAAACTTTATTGCCACCTCTTTTTAAACATGCTGCCAAGTGTTTGGAACTCTGTGTCCTTGAATTATGAGTTTATCTTTTTTTTTTTTTTTTCGGCCACACCACGAGACATGTGGGATCTTAGTTCCCTGACCAGGTATCAAACCTGTATCCCTGCATTGGCAGCATGGAGTCTTAACCACTGGACAATGAGGGGAGCCCACTGAGTTTATCTTTTAAGATAGTTTTTGGCCCCCCAAAAGTAGTCATTCTAACTGATTAAATTGTAGAATGACATAGCAGTGACTGTCATTCAGCTCTCACAAAGTTCAGATAGAAGTTCAAATCCAATCAGAGCTCACTTTTATACATGACTTTGATGAATCTCTAAGTGATCTTATCTCTATCCTCATTAGAATTTCTGTGGCAACTGCCAAGCCAGTGTCCCTGGCCTGAAAAGCAACAAAGGAGAAGAATCAGGCGCTGGTGAGCCCGGAAAGTTTGATTCTGCAGCCCGGAAGGTAAGAAGACGAGGGTTGAGTGTGGACCAGGGGACCCTGAAAGTTCCACACGGTGCCTTCTCTTATCTGCAACTGCTCTGTCTTCCAGGGCGATCTAGGGCCACGGGGTCCTCCAGGAATCCCAGGCAGAGAGGGACCAAAGGTAGGGAAATCTCTCTTCTGTGCAACCTTCAATTTGGGGTAAAAAAAAAAAAATCCATTTGAAAATACAGTACCTTTTCTAAAAATATCTTGGAAAAGCCATTTGCATAGGTCATTTATATGTTTCCCAGTTCTGTCCAAATGACATGCCCCAAGTGTCCTTAGAGGGAGGGATATTTTCATTTTTCCAAAGATAACAAAATGACTGAGCATACTAACTAAATGAATTGTCTTTCTAGGGGAGCAAAGGCGAGCGGGGCTACCCTGGCGTGCCTGGGGAGAAAGGTGATGAGGTAACTGACTCCTCTGACCATGGAACCCTCCCGCTGAGCCTTTCGTACATGACACAACTAAAGGACATCAGTTTTCCTATAGCTCATGTCTGATGTTAAGTAAATAAAAACAAAAACAGTGTTTTTTTCCAAATGTTAGCACATTTTAAATAATATGTTGCTATTTGTTGTCAGTGGTCCAGTTTTGGGGACAAGGAAATTTAAGCACAAATTTAACATATCAGTTAATTGATATGTTTTCATGCAGGAGGTAAAAATTTTAGGTCTCTCAAGACAAAAGCTAGGGGAAAGAGGGAACTTACTGAAAAGAATCCTAAAGGAGCTCATAGAATTGAGGGACTAGTTAGCAACCAGCCTGGGGATAAGGGCAGCTCCAGAACTCAATAGAGCTTCCTGGCCCTCTGCTATAACATAACTCAATTTCAGCGACCTTGGTTTGTCTGTATCTCTACTCAACTTTCAAACTCTTGGGAAGAAAACACACACACACATCAAAAGGGTCTGCCTGGGCTGGTTTTAATCATCTGCCCACCCTCCCACTAAGGTTCAAAGTCAAATGTGCTTTTGAGATGGTGATATAATTTTCTGACTCTCTGCCATACCGATCTCAGGATAGCATTCTTTCCTGCATAATTCACATTAACTCTTAGAAAAACCAATTAGGATGATGAATTGTTGTTAGTTTAAACAGTTTTGATACTAATAATTCTTAATGAAAGTAAGTAAGCCATCTGGCATATATTAACCTTGATGTTGGTGTAGAAAATCATGACAATATAAAGTAGATCTATTTTTGAGTTGGAGTTATATATTTCACGTTATAAATTACCATGTTATTGTTTTTAATTAATATTGATTCTATTTAAGAAGACAGTGAGGATTGGCTTGTTTTTTTCCAAGTTAAAAATTGAAGAGCAAAGAAATACAACATTTATTTTCATCCATAAATAAAAGAGTAAAGGCATTTTATTTTCAAAACAAGGAAGAATTATTGAGCTTTTGCATCTTCATGCTCCACAGAAAGTTGCACTAAAGTATACGCGCAGTATCTGATTTTAATAGTCTAACAGCTTTTAACTGCCTAGGTTCAAGAAGTAGGCTTTAAAGGCAATTGAGAAGGTAATAGCAAAAAGATCAGGAAATAATTGGAATTTGGGTTTTTTATAAGTGACTCTAAATTAAATTTATTAGAAGTTAACTTTTATTGATTCTGCAGTGAACTGAACCCCTCCTTAATTCCTTATTTTGGTGTGCTTTTCCTTAAGTACAACTTGTGGATTCTTTAACACAGGGAACACAGATGTTGCACAAGACTCTTAGCCATTCAGTTCCAGCTAGTTCATAAGGAGATTGTCTTTCATTGTTTCTTCATATCTCATGAAAATTATGAATAGACCTGAGGTAATATACAACTCAGTTAGGCCTTTTGTGAAGTATGGGTCAATGCAGTTTGTCCCTCTCAGACAGATGGGAAGTACTGAGTATCATCTTGTCTCCTTGGACTCAAATACCCCCTGAAATTTTAATTTTTTGACTTGTTTAAGTGAATGAAACTTTGCCCAAGAACATGTGTATTGCCAACTGGCCAATAAATTATACTGTTTTAATACACACGTAACAGTCCATGGGATCGCAGGAGTTGGACACAACTTAGCAACTAAACCACCACCACCAATATCTGATTATACAAGATCTAAGATGTCTGCCCTACACTTAGTGGAAAAGATATAGAATGACATCACACTCTCTCTTTGAGGAATTCCTGATTATTATTTAATAGTGATCATAATCCATTTGGAAACTTAAGAGTTGCCTGTTGTTATGGCTTTAACAAAAGTGACGTTGTCCTCTGTCCAGTTGTTAGAGATGTTCTTTCACAACTCAAGGTAACAAATTGGCAGATACTGACAGAACACAGACTCACCTCTTGTAGTCAGAGGGAATTCTCGCTTGGAATGCAGGTCTTTTTTACAGTATTTTAGAACAATAATCGATCAGTGGGACTTGCAGAATATTGTCAGCCATAAATTATAGCAATGGAAAAATAAATATTCTTGATAGCAACTGAGCTATGAATTGTAAAATCAAAATATCAGAACAGGGAAAGAACTTAGTTCTAATGATCCTGGACTATCTATGCAATAAGTTTTAATTTGTATTTTAGTTTGGTACAATATGCTAAATCTACTGTCTTACTCTTTAATATGTATTTGTCTTCTTTAATGATGTTCTTGTCTTCTAAAATTATCTTCTTGCCCTTTATACATCCACAGTAACTTTTACCCTTAGTACAGAATTTCAGCTTGTTCAGAGAAAGACTGCTGAGAATGATTTTTTTATTTATGGACTGAGGTTTATTTTAAAGTTTAATGTGGTCATCAAAGGTTAATGAGTCCCAAGCTTATAAATTAGACTACCTAAAGACTCAGCATCTTTAGACTGATTCAGTGTTGAGACTAAAAGTAGCAAAAAGGAGAATATATAAGAACATACATATCTTATACATGTACATATAGAGAGTATTTTATGGAAATGTGCGTATTTTGAGATAAAGCAATTTGTGGCATACCATTTATAGTCTCTAGATACTCAGAGGTCCATTCCCAAAGGAAGGTTTTTTTTCCTTTTCACTTATAACCCCATAAACAAGTTAATGGTGGGGTAATAAAAAGAGCCAAAACAGCATGCTAATGTGTACTGCCTGCAGATGCATACACATGTGCGTGCACACACACACACACACACACACACACACACAGCATTGCCAGTGAAGACGAACCCATCTTGAAGAAAGTTTAGATCCACATTCTTTAACACAAGTGTGCATAAGATTTTACCCAAGACTCTTATTACGGGAAGCATTTCAGCACTCCCAGGAAGAGTCCTTCCAGCATTTCTTCACCTCCTATCACATGAAAAACCTGAAGGAATATATGATCCCATTAGGCATTAGATGGACATATTCCGTAGAGCTTGATCCTTGATCCCATTAATGCAGTGAACCCTGTACCCTGTGGAACTCTGCTCCTCTAGAACTCCCATAAATAGCTATGTAGCAATTTACCATGTAGCAATTCTACCATGGTCACTTTATCTAATATGTACAGTATGTACCAAATGTATATTTCATCACAGTAAAAGGTAAGGGAGCTTACGATAACAATTAATGATTTGGCACTATAAAAGTATTACTTAGTAAAGAAAACTGAATCCTGAAAAAGTGGAACCATTCAAAATAGAACTTGATACATCATATGTTTATCTAAGATAATAAATGGGTATTTTAAAGTATATTTTTCTCATCAGAGAAGTCATCTGAGTTTCTTACAGAAAATCTGAGAAATATACAAAAACACTAAAAAGAGTAAAAGTGACTCCAGTTTGTGCTTCTCAGACTGTTGGTGAAAGTCCTATTGTGGTCCACAATCTCGGATCCACAATTCCAAAGCTCAAATGCCTCTGAAACCCTGAGAAATTTTTCCCAAGTTTGGATTAAATTTCTTCGGCAGAAAAATCTGACCTGAAGTCAAATGGAGCCAATCTATGTAACCCATTTGGTGAGAATATCATGTGTTCTGCAATAGAAAAATTTGTGTGTTCATTAGCAGGTCCTGCCTTAAATGCCACTGGGAGTATTATGTAATACCAGTATAAGCACATGTGTTTCCTTTAAAGCTAATCTGAAAATTCAGTACTCTGAAGCACATCTGATACAAAGTTTCCAGATAAGACATTGTGAGCCTCCATCAGTCTCATCTCAGGAACTGCATTTCTAATTTTTTTAATAATTTGGACCTTACCCTATGTAACATTTTGTAATTTCCCTTTTTCTATACTATTCAATAGCTTTTGAAACATGATTTTAATAGTTGTGAAATATTTCATAATATGAGCTTATTTAAATTTAATATTCTGCTGCTGACATATCTGATAAAGGAACAAATTAATTACACAAATTATCAGTTAATCTTAGCAATTTGTCCTTGAATATATAAATGTATCCAGTGTAACTAGCATGATGCTACAAATATAAGACAGAGCAAGAGAGGCTTTGTGTTCACTTTTACACTTAAGCCACTAAAGGATTCCAAATTTAAATTCACTGATGAGCCAAATTTCTTAAAATGAACTGTCCAGCTAAACTAAATATTATATCATAAAGCAGATTCCATTGTTCCGCTAGTTGAATGAAGTGTTCGTGTAATGTATTTCTTTGATGGCATTCTGCTCCTCTGAAATTTGTATTTTCATGCTTTAACAGTGCCAGCTTCTCAAAGATGCTATTGATGATTGTGAGGATATGTGAGATGTGACATCAAAAATATTCTATGAATCACCAAACACATTAAATTATGTTCATTATAGATGCCATGCATGCCACAGCATTTTAGCTCAACATCCTTATTCTTCAAAAGTGGGTCTTTGCACATGACAGACACCTTGTTTCTTGATTAGCCAACATAGATGTTTTGTTTTCAATAGTCAAAATGTTTGCTGAACTAAAATGCTTTGTTTCCAATGATATAACAGATTTTATGGTAGGAACTATCTCTTCCAGGGTCTTCAAGGAATTCCAGGCCTTCCAGGTGCTCCTGGCCCCACAGGACCGCCTGTAAGTATTTGCTAAAACTGTTTTACTCACCACTCGTTCTGCTGAGATGATGCCAGGTGAACTAATGTTCCTCCTTGCTTTTTTGTTCTCCATTCCTCCATGTAGATTTTTCAAGCATTGCCTGGAAAAGTAGCATCTGACGTCTCGGACTTTTGTTAGTGTCACCTGAGGCTGCTAGGGGTTGTGGAGACTTGTCTGTGATTAAGCAAGTCAATTTGAATAGAAGTTGGATATAGAAGAGAACATTATCTCTTTTAGTTATAACTTTTTGGCATTGACCTTTTGGATACTCAGATGGTTACACCTTACATGTTAAGCACCATAAACTAAGAATTCATTCTCTAGATGAGGAAAAAGAAAATGGGTCAGGATTATCAGATTCAATTTCATTTTATTCCAATTTATGAATTAAAATATGCTCTGGCACCTTTTTTCACTGTCTCTCAAACACAGTATCACATTCTTTGTCTCTTTAGGTATCCTGTTTTCTTAAAACAGAAGTCTCTTTTCCTTTCCTGCCTGTTAAACCCAATCTCTCCTTAAAGCAGAGCTCAAAACTAGGGTTGCTGGTTAAAATACTGGATATAAGCTTAAATTTTAATTTCATATAAATAAATAGTTTCATAGCATGTTTGTCCCAAATATTGTATTTTTATTTGTTAAATCTAGCAATCCTATTCAAGCCTCAATTTTTGCAATCATCCTCTCCTTAGAGTTCCTATGCAAATGGTATGTAGGAATGTAATCATGTTCCTTAATGTTTTGAATCATGGATTTGCCATAATGAAAATTTTACCATTTATGCTTTCACCGCACTATATTGAACAAACCTGAGTCTAAATTGTACACTAAAATTAAAAGTTAAGAGCGAAAGTTGTGAAAGGGATCATGGAAATTATAGCTAACTGTTCTCAAAGAAGATTTTAAATTTAATTTTATTTTCCATTGGTAAAATGCAGATCGCATAACTCAATATGCACCTTGTTAATTCTGCTCTATGAAGTATTAAAATGTTGATCACTACCAAAATTATAGCTCATTTAGGAAGGCATAATGTTATGTAAATTGCCATTTAAACAGCAAGGCTAAATTTTTAAATGTATTAAAAGGTTCCAATTAAGGTCATTAAATGTGGTTGGCCAAGGTGAAAAAGCGACCACAGATACAAGTTTTTTCCTTCCAAGGGCTTATCAGCAGGATACAGCTGCAGTATCAGCCTGAAGAAATATAAGCTTATAGGACTGATCTAATTATGATCAAATGACCTTCAAAATGTATCAGTTTGAGCAACCAACCTCCAACACGCTTGGCTTTTCTTGTTGTTTCAGTGACAAACTTAGTTTTGTGTTTTACAGGGCTTACTAGGAAGAACGGGACACCCTGGCCCCATGGGAACAAAGGGTGACAAGGTATAGAGGGAAAATCTCACTTACTGTCCAAATTGGGGTTTGGGGTGGATGGGAGGCGAGACCACTTTTAGAGAAAGTCTGGAAAATCGAGGAAAGCTTCAAAGTAGGACAGGTGTCAGGGAAGGGGGCTTGGAAGGACCTAGGTCCCGAAGTTGGTCTGAATACAAGAGATATGCTCCCAGGGAAAAGGCTGAAAGCTCCAGGCTGGATACAAGGTCCTGGGCATCCACTGTGTGGAAGGACAGGGTGAGGGCTGCCTCCTGATGAGATGCAGGAAGGTGGCTAGTATCGGGGCATCCAGCCACAGGTGCCAAGGCTCCCAATAGCTCACGGCTCTCAGCATCAGGATTCCAGTAACTGATGGGCTTGCTGAGGAAATCTGGAGAGTCATAGGGGAAGTCCTCTAAAGAACCATCACAGCTTGCTTCATGGGGAGTCCAGTCAATGAGTCAGCAGGGAAGGGCAGCAAAGGGGGGTCTCAGCAGGAAGCTCACACGGTACCCGATTTCATATCTGAAGTCCCCCCCCACCACCGCCACCACCCACCGCAGTGTGATAGAGCCAGCACCTGAGTCACGTGGACTAACTATTCCAATTTGAGAAATTTAAGAATCAGGAATCCATAAGTCACTTCAGTGACTTATACCCTGAAATGCCTACAGTGGGCATGATGGCATCAAGGAGCAGAGGAATCCCCCTCCCCAAAATTGAAAGGCAACCGTGTGCTTATTCTAGACAGTCTCACACATTTTTCTCTGATAGCATCCCAGAGAGCTTGCCCAACCCCACCAGCCTTTTCTCTGTGTTCTTGATCGAAATTATTATGTTGGAGATTTGCCTTTTGAAGTTAGTGGGAATTCCACACAGAGATGAGCTTTGGGCCACAGTCAAGAATGAAAATATGACTTTTAATTGTGCCAGAAAAAAAAAAAGTCCTTTCAGTAGGCACATGTTTTCCTTGTTTGTTGTCCCCTTGCAGTTCAGGAGAACCAGGACAGAATTCTCTGAAGGATTCTGCCAGCAGCCCACAGGACCTGATGTGTCTTAGAAACATGCAGTACACTCAATATTACTCAGTATAGGGGAGATACATGGCAAGAAAAACTTTACAGTTGGTCTTTATTGATAAAGACACAATCAGAAGGTTTATATGATTATTTTGTTACTGAAAAAAATGGGGAGATTGGAATGAAACCCATCAAATTTATGAAAATGGACTAAAATCCCTCAAAATTCTTGAGCATGATAAGTAAGAATTTACTCTCTGATTCTTCTTTAATTAACCATTTCTTGCCATTGCCCCTGATAATCAAGAGACTTAGGAGATTGTTAGAGGCTATTCTTTTTTAAAAAAGAAAAAAAAAAGCAGTTACAGGAAGAACTGGTTAAAGACACCAAAGGGAGTATCGTGCCTCTGCTTATCATGGACTAATAACCAGCCTGTGTTTTATAAAAATATAAATCAAATCCCTTGTTTCAAGTTTCAGCTTGAATTCATTTTTCACAGATGTCATTTTCAGTCTGCCTTGCCTCGAAGCAGAATGTCTGAGGCTGTTTACATTGTACAGAATGTTTCCTTTAAATAGCACTGTCCCTCGGTCACCTCTGCTCAAGGGGACTTGCCTGACGTTAACTTAGAAAGTGAGAGAGGTTTCTCCCCCTGCAGACATAACTCAGATTGTAATTTTCCACTCTAGTTAAAGTATGTGGATGTGCCCTCTGGTTCCCCAAAGGTGAAGGTGGTGGGGTGAGGGTCTGCCCCAGAGAGCTGAGTCCCTGAGCCACCCCCACTTGCAGGAAGTCTGCTCTGCACCCCAAGGTGGGGAGAGTTCCCCCAGTTGCACTCAAAGCCTAGGACCTTATCGCCTGGTTGTCTGGCTCCATCTAAAAATAAGCTTTGTCCCTGGGGGTGAAACGGTGAAGATCTGAATACCTGTGGGGAAAGACATTTAGCTTTCCTGTGGTCTAGTAATTCCCCAGGTGAAGGGAAAAGCTGAGCTGAACAAGACTTTGCAAGGCTGACAAAATGACAAGTCATATCGATTTCAGAATGTCTGGTTCATAAACCTGGGGTAGAAACGTCTGTCACTGATGTTGGTCTGTCTCCCCTTTGCAGGGCAGCGAGGGGCCCCCTGGGAGACCTGGGCCACCTGGACCAGCTGTGAGTTGTTTCGTGTTTAAAACAGAAATGCATGCTCCTACTTGAGGCTTTTTATAAGTAGCAAAGTCCTGTTGTCTTGCACGAGGAACTATATTCAGTATCCTGTGATGAACATATCATAATGGAAAAGGAGGGGGGACGCCTTTTGTAAAGGGGTTGGACTACGTTTAGGTACCTTCAAGGATGAAAGTCGCCTGAGTGTCATGTATGACTTTGAATGACGGCCAGCATGGCTTAGGGGAGCTCTGACTCTCCCTGTGAGCTCAGCCCTGAGGCACAGCGCTCAGATCTGCGCATTGCGGGCCTCCCTGCTATGGGTTCAGCTCACCTAGATGTGCAGCTGACTCACCACTGCCCGCCTGGGGGCCGCTCGGAAAGTCATTTAACCTCAATGAGCCTCATTCATGGGAAATAGAGGGGCCATAAAGAGAGCCCTTCCAGCAATGTGAGTTGGTAGAGAAATTGTGTTGTGCTGTGTGTGTTTATTACTATCCATGATGCCTGAGAAGCTGGGAAACTCTATTTATACAGCGCTTGGTGAATGAAATGTACACGGGGCCACGAGTGTTCTCAGGGCTGACACAGATGTTGTCAGGAGGCTGGGGAGAAGACAGGTGGCTCTCCCTGGAGCAAGTCTGCCCTCAAGTGGGGTCTCGCTTGAACAGCATCACAGCTTCCATCTCGCCGAATGTTCCTTCCCATGGGCCTCAGAGGGAGAGTTTAAGAAGCCAAACTCACCCAAAGCGGGCAGAAGTCATCTGTGACTTTTTTGGAGAAAAATAATCAAAAGTTTAATAACACGTGCACTTCTTATATGCAAGGGAAACATCCAGGAAAACTGGGTAACTCCCTGAAATGGCCCAAGTCATCCCCTGAAATACCATCTTCACCAAAAAGCAAAAGGAAGGAAGTGTATGTTGGTGCACAGATTTATGTCTTAGCTTTCTCCATTGGTAAGTTTCTTGAGATTCCGAAGACAACAAAGATAGGTTGCATGTCTGTGTGCTTTGCACATTGAAGACATTGGCATCTGTTTTCCTAAACCTGCTCTTCATTTTACTTACCTTCTCCCTTGATACTGAAGCAGGGCAGGCAGCACCTGAGGCTCAAACACTGAAATGCGCTCCCTCCCTAGTGGACAGCACAGCAAAGTGCAACATGAGCCCCCAAAAGGGACCTGTGTTTTACAAGGGACTGAAGAGATCGCCCTCCCCCCTCCCACCCGGATCCTCCATAGCTATCTATTCTTCAAAACAAATTAAATGCTGTCTCTCCTGGGAAGCCTCCCACCCTGGCCCTGGAAATCTCAGACCAAAGTATCCTTCGCCCTCCAGGACTGTACACAGTAGACATTGAGCATTTGTCAAACTGCTGAATTGAATTGTCAAATGGATGAATGAAATGCTAAAGGAATAAATGAACAGAGCTTTTTCCTTCCTTCTCAAGTGTTTGCAGGGCACGCAGGTCTCGTGCCCTGAGCACCGCTGGCTGCCATGGTCCAGGAGCAGGGCAGTGAGGGATCTTCAGTTTTGCAGCTAAAATGTGGAAATCACAGTAAAGGAAAATGCAAGTTATTGATTCTATGGGGATTTTATTTTAAAAAGGCTAAAAGATCTGAACTAAAATTTTCATGTGCACATTTTTCCTGTATGCTAAAATGTTTGATTATGAAAGCCTCTCAAATGAGTTCTCTTTAAAGACCCTGGGACTTGATTCACAGATCAATTTTATTAGGAAGTTTCTATTCCCTATTGTTTTAAAGTATATATTTTTGTAGAACATCTATGCAGGGTTGTGAATAAAATCATATCCCCTGTTTCTCTTTATTTTCTATTCAGTATGAAGAGACTGGGGGAAAAAATTACCTTTCAGTAGCCAAATTGTTCCCTATTCACATCTTCATCAGCACTCCTGTATTATGGCCTGCAGGTCAGCAGGCTGTAAACAGTTAGCATAAATTGGCAATTCAGAAACTGAATTTTAATGAGCAAATAATATTTTCCTCTGAATACATTAGTGTCTCATCTGTCAAATCGGCACATTCATCACAGTCCTACAGAAAGTGTGTGTGTGCACTCCCGGTGGAGCTCACATGCCTTCCGGTATTTTTTCCCCTACATTTGCTTTAGAAAAACCAAAAATGGAAAACTCCATTTCTAAAATAGAATAGGAAAAATATCATTTGGTAAAACAACAAAGTTAGAGACTCTCACTATTAACATAAAAGAATAATTCCATATCCCATTTCTTTTCTAAGGGTGTGCCATTCAATGAAGGGAATGGAATGAGCAGTTTATATAAAATCCAGGTATTTACTTTTCTAATTATGTAAAGTCACTTTCTGGTTCCAGGTTACTACAAATCCTTCTCACCTTTTTCTTTCTCTTTTGAAGGGAGGTGTGAGTGCTCCCAGTTACCCAGGGCCACCGGGACCCCCTGTGAGTACAGTTGTTTGTCATGAAGCATATTTTCACTGAACAGTCACACATACGCAACAAAAAGACATCCTAAGTTCACTGAAAATTATGTGTTAGAAACATAACCAAGATGTTCTGCAGGAGGAAATAAACGAAACCAATAATAATAAGATTGTACACAAAGTAGAGAAAAATTACATAATTCATAGAGCTGTCACATTTTGGAAATCTGAGAACTAAATCAATGTCCAGGTGACTGCCGTCATGGGAGTTCTCTCAAGTTATAGTTCCTCATCTTATGCTTCAAGTCCAAACGGTAGCAAAGCAAGGCTTGCACGTATTTTTACATGTAGTAAAGCAAATTGGAAAAAAATTCCTCATAGTTTGTGATTTTGCTTCAGTCATTATTTTCAAGGTGACTTCTCATATTTTTCTTATAGGGCCCCAAAGGCGATCCTGGCCCAGTGGTATGTATATTGTATATTCCCATGTTTGTGTCATTTAGAAAATACATCTTTATTAGAGTTAAGAAGAGCTTCAGGAGGGATGCCTGCCTTCTGAGATGTTTGTCAGTGAACATGGAGGCAGCCGGCCCATTCCTCACCTCAGAAAGCTTTAGTCCTGATGTCACGGCCCTTGATGTTCCCCCATCAGAGCATTTGTAGAAATTGTCCCAGGCTGGAAAGAGACACGTATACAGCTCCTGAGAAACAGGGCACTTTCTTCCAGTAGGACTATTCTGATGATCATGAAAGTGGATCATGAAAGAAAAATATTAGTGGATCACGACAGAAAAATATCTATTGAAAAGAAATTCTTTAAGATGTCTGCCATATCTCCTAACAACAACAGAGACAGGAGCAGTTTATTTACTTTGACTGTCTGAGGCAGTTTTTCTGGAGGAGATTTGGTGAGCTGTGATAACCCCATTTACTGGGAGTGATGTGTCGGGAAAGGTTAACCCTCCGCCTGGGGAGAGATCTCGTCCTCCAGCCCCCAAAGGATGATGACTGTGGTCAGGCATCCTCCTCAACCACGAGGTGTCTCTGGGAAAGTTCTGCCAAATGCAGTTAGATTGTTTTTATTCCCTGGCTGGCTTTCCTGTCATGTCCTTTACAAGCAGATGTTCTGTCCTTCATATTTCATTTCTCTGTACTTTGACCTTTGGATATATGCTTGAAACTCAGATGTACCTGAAACTGATACAAATTTTCTAAGCACTTTCCATTGCCAGAAGAGACTGAAGGCCCTTTTGTTTCAGTAGAGTTTGGTAAAACTAGATGAATAAATTTTAAACAAGCAGGACAGCCATAAAAAGCAATCTTTTCACATCTAAATACATTTTCAAAGGAGATGCATGAAAGAGCTATTTTTTTCTTATTGGGCAATTAAAAGCTGATTTGTTTTCCCCTAAGCTCATGATTTAACCTAGTTAGAAGCATTTTCCAAATATGCCATGTGGGAGCTTCTTTTGTTTTGTGACTCATGCTATGCTTTCTGTAACATTTTTAATGCTTTCATCCACTACATCCTCCAATGCAATTTCAATCTTCTTTCGTCTTATTGATAAAAATTTCCTCTTGGTCTTTCCTTCTCACACTCACACACACACACATCCCTTCTGGATCATTTAGAGCACATAGGCTTCTCACTGCCTTCCCTGAAACACCAAAGTTTTTTCATTAGAAGCTGTAGTTTAAGGTGAGAAAGCTCTTTTAAAAGTACAATAATAAAGGATAAGTTATAATTCATTTGGATTGGAAAGTGGGTGATAACAAAAGTGTGGACAGATGTGAGTAGAATCTGAAGAGATGAGACTTTGATTTTTTTTAGCTGCAACAAAGGATAAAGAATAAAAACCAAGTGAAGGATGTTCCTTGCTTTTATTTTTTTATTTATTTGTTTTGTTCCTTGCTTTTAGGGACATGAATTAAGTGGGTAAAGCACAAAATTGGAATCATAAAATATGAAATTAATAACTGTATAATCCTTCAGGTTTATCTTAGATAAATCTTCAGACTGTTCCTTTGGAATTCATGTTACCAGTTGCCCCCAGGTAGAGAAATACTACCTCATACTACAGAGATAAGGCAAGAATGGTGGAGTCACAGGCCACTGAATGAAGTGAAAGTCGTTCAGTCGTATCCGACTCTTTGCGACGCCATGAACTATACATTCCATGGACTTCTCCAGGCCAGAATACTGGAGTGGGTAGCCTTTCCCTTCTCTAGAGGATCTTCCCAGCCCAGGGATCAAACCCAGGTCTCCCACACTGCAGGTGGATTCTTTACCAGCTGAGCCACAAGGGAAATCTAAGAATACTGGAGTGAGTAGCCTATCCCTTCTCCAGCAGATCTTCCCGACCCAGGAATCAAACCAGGGTCTCCTGCATTGCAGGCAGATTCTTTACTAGCTGAGCTACCAGGTCACTGAATAGAAAATGGAAAATTCCCTTGGGGCTTTGGGGGAAGATTTACTCTTCCAGCTTCCTTCAAACCCCAGGCCACCAGACTTGCATCACTGTCTCTAATCTTCTCAGTGAAACTTTGCCAATAAAAATCACCCTTAATTGAATTTATTCTTTTCTGAGGTGATCCATTTCATTCCCTTAGTATTCAATTTATAATTGGTTTTCAATTAAATATTTATTATTAGCTACTTTCAAACAAATGTCGATTGATTGGCTGAACACTGTCCAACCAATTCCTCTGTCCTAAGGATAACTGAGAATGTAAACAAAGAGAATCAAAAATCTTATTTCCTTTGTCAATAACCCAAGGCCTCTATTACAGAGCTTCATTCAGAATAGAATCTAAACACCTTTTCTTCTGATTAACAGGTTACATATTGGTAGATGTCTAAAAAGATTTTTGGAGCAAACAAAGTATCCAGATCATATGCTTCTCATTAAGTATCTCACAATAAGGACAATATCATAACTCATAATAGAAGTTAGTGTTCATGGTATTTTTGAAGTAGATTAGCATTAGGCATGCTAAAATACATTTACAGAGAATGAACTTGGAAAGCTACATTTTCTATATGATTATGTTTAAAGCACCCAGTGTCCTGAGAAAATATTTGTAGTTAACATTAAATCATGGGTCACAGCAAACTGTGGAAAACTCTTAAAGAGATGGGAATACCAAACCACTTTATCTGTCTCCTAAGAAATCTGTATGCAGATCAAGAAGCAATAGTTAGAATTGGACATGGAACAATGGAGTGGCTCAGAATTGGGAAAGGAGTACATCAAAGCTGTTTATTTAACTTACATGCAGAGGACATCATGCAAAAAGCCAGCCTGGATGAATCACAAGCTGGAATCAAGATTGCCAGAAGTATCAACAACCTCAGATAAGCAGATGATACCACTCTAATGGCAGAAAGTGAAGAGGAACTAAAGAGCCTCTTGATGAGGGTGAAAGAATAGAGTGAAAAAGCTGGCTTGAAGTTCAACATTCAGAAAACTAAGATCATGACATCCGGTCCCATCACTTCATGGCAAATAAAAGGAAAAGATTTTATTGTGACAGATTTTATTTTCTTGGGCTCCATGAAACTAAAAGAAACTTGCTCCTGGGAAGGAAAGCTATGACAAATATAAACAACATATTAAAAAGTGGAGACATCACCTTGCTGACAAAGATCCATCTAGTCAAAGCTATGCTTTTTCCAGTAGTCTTCTACCGATATGAGAGTTGGACCATAAAGAAGGCTGAGCCCCGAAAAACTGATTCTTTCAAATTGTGTTGCTGGAGAAAGACTCTTGAGAGTCCCTTGGACTGCAAGGAGAGCAAACCAGTCAATTCTAAAGGAAATCAACCCTGAATATTCATTGGAAGGACTGATGCTGAAGCTCTAATACTTTGGCCATGTTATATGAAGAGCTGACTCATTGGAAAAGACCCTGATGCTAGGAAAGATTTAAAGCGAAATGAGAAGGGGGCGACAGAGGATGAGCTGGTTAGATAGCATCACTGACTCAGTGGACACCAATTTGAGCCAACTGTGAGAGAGAGCGAAGCACAGGGAATCCTGATATGCTGCAGTCCATGGGGTTGCAGAATTGGACACGACTTAGTGACTGAACAACAACAATCAAGCCACTTAGTCTCTTAATTTAAAGCCCCTAATGTTTATTGTTATAAGTTAGCAGCTTCCTTCACCCTAACATTTCTAAATGGGTTCCTTGAGGACCTAAAGTCAGCTGTGACCATACACCAGTATTTGTAACAGATTTTTTTTAGCAGAAAGGCTTACCCATCTCCTCTCAGTGACCCGTCAGCAGTGACTGCCTCTGGGGCTGTCCTCTGAAGCGCCCACAGTTCATGTCCAGCTCCAGGGAGTATTGAGGGATGATAAACTTTGGTTTGAGAGCTCCATCTTTAGTCTTGTTTTCTGACAATCTAGAAGCCTTTGGTACCTCACAAACGCAAAGTTTATTAAATCCCAGCCTTTTCTTCTATTTCTTATTGAAGCTGGAGTTATCACTGACTAGAGGAATTCATTCAGAGAAGATTAGTCAGAATAAAAACAATTAGAAAAAATATATACTTCAGGAAATAGCTTTATTTTCTGACTGTTTTCAAATACCAAATGCGAGAATACAGATGCTTGAAAATAGAGCATTCTGTTTACTTGCTAAATTACCAATCAATGTTTGAGAGAGTACTTTCTAGGCAAAAAAAATAAAAAATCCTTGGTTTTGAAATCAATAATTTAAAAACCTTTTATTGTTGCTTTTGTGTTCTTATGTTCATATTTAACAGGGAGAACCTGGTGCAATGGGGTTGCCAGGACTAGAAGGATTTCCTGGTATAAAGGTAAGTGCGAGGTTAAGCATGTGTTCACCAGTTCAACATTCAAAAATGTTTATTGAGCACCTACCATTGGACCAGAAGCTCTTTTAGGTTTGGGGATACCTAAGAGAACAAAATAGACAGAAATCTCTGTCCTTGTGAAAATTATGTTTTAAGCAGGGAATACAGAAACTAAGAGAATAAATACAAATAATTAATAATATTGTTAGTAAGTGCTGTGGAAAGAAAGAAAAAGTAGAGGAGATTAAAGGGATCAGGAGTGTGGAAGGGGAGAGTGTGATTTTAAATCAGGTGGTCTGAGAAATCAGGAGCTAAGCAAAGACGTGGAAGCAGTCAGGGGATGGAGGTGGTCAGTTAGCTAAGCGCCTGAAGCCAGAAGGAAGAAAGTTCCAGGCAAGGTGAGGAAGTTCTTGAGATGTAATGTATAGCACAGTGATGCTAGTTAACAATACTAAACTGTATCCTTGAAATTTTCTAAGTGTTCTCAACACACACACCTACACACCCACACAAATAGTGACCTGTGAGGTGACAGAGATGTGGATTAGCTTGATTATGGTGATCATTTACCGATATATATGTATATCACATCATCAAACAGTACACCTTAAATATAAACAACTAGAGAAAGAAGGCCTTACATGCCCTGAGACAGGAGCATTCCTATACATTCAAGGAGACCCGGGGAGTGAGTGAGGGGAGCATGCTAGGAGATGAGGTCAGAGGTGGGGTGGAGGTGAGGGGCAGGTGAGGTGAGCACCCTGCCCAGCAGTCTGCTCGCTGGCCCATGGAGGACCAGGGCCAGTCTGCAAGTTTTGTCATGGGTTTGGAGGCAAGGTAAGCACAGAGATGGAGAGCAAACATTTAAAAAACTTGACTTTTGACATTGCCATAATATCCAAACATGTGATCCACATTGGTTCATGATACATTAGAAAATAAATAAGCAAGTAAAGTGGTCCTTCACCACAGGTAGTTTGAGAAGCACTAATTAATAAAGAGGCTTATCAGCCATAGTAAAGACTTTCTCTTTCACTCTGAGTGAAATACGGAGCCGGTGGTGGTTTCTCAGTAGAAAAATGACGGACCTGCAACTGGAGTATAAGGAAGGCTCCTTGGGATTCTCCAGGCAAGAATACTGGAGTGAATTGACATGCTCTGCTCCAGGGGATCTTCCTGACCCAGGGATCGAACCCATGTCTCTTACATCTCCTGCATTGGCAGGCGGGTTCTTTACCACTAGCACCACCTGGGAGCCCCACGAGACAGGGGAGGCTCAGACTGTTCCCATATATGGGGCAGTGGTGTCGGCTCAGACAAGAGCAGAATCAGTGGAGCTCATGAGGAGGCTGAGGCTCTGGACGTGTTGTGAACGAAGGGCAATAGGACTGATGGCATGTGGGTCTAAGAGAAGAGTCAGGGATGGCTCCATGGTGAGCACCTGAGATGATGGCATGTTATCAACAGAAATGAGGGAAGCTACACAGAGTCTGTTCAGAGAGGGTAGGATGAGAATGATCCATAGTATAACTTTGGATGTGTGACCAATTATGGGAATTATCTACGAGACAGCATAATGGGGGTCCTGGAGTAGGCGGTACAATAGGAAAGTACAGAGTTTAAAAAGAGGCCTAAGTGCAGATATAAACTGATTGTGTAAGCCTATAGGTGCTATCTGAAAGTCAAGAGGCTGGATAAGATCACCAAGAGAATGACAGTGCATTTTTTTAAAAGAGGACAGGATCATGGACTGAGCCTTGAAGCCCTCCAATATTAAGATCAGGAGGGAAGCAGGGGGTGAGCAAAGGAGCCTGAGATGAGGGGACCAGAGAAATAAGAGGAAATGTTGGTGCCCTGTAAATCAGTGAAGACTGTGTACAGAAAAGAGTGATCATCTGTCTCATATCCTGCAAATAGGTCGAGTAGGATGGCCATGTAGGAACCGTTCACCAGAGAAATGATTACTGTTTCACTGTGGTGGTAAGAAAAATTTCTGGACTTGAATGGTCTAAGAGAGAATGACCCCAAAAAAAAAAAATAAAAAGATTTAGATAAAGCGAAAACAATGTTCAAGGACTTTTGCTGCAAAGAAGAGTAAAGAAACAGGCCAGCAGCTACGGGAGGAAGCAGGGCTAGGTTCCATAAAATAGATTTTAAGACCACAGAAGTACCAGTTTCTAGGCTAAAAGAAAGGTCTGGTTTAGTAAAGGGGAAGGAGTGATGAGATAGGAGGAGAGGGGAGAAGTGCTGGAGCGGCATCTTCAGTAGCTAAGAGGGAAGGGACCTGGGGCATAAATGCAGGGCTTCAGAGAGGAGCCCAGATAGTTCATCTGGGGTAGCTGGTTGGAACCAAAGTACAGGGAAACAGGAGCGGGGACACGGGCACATGAATTGATTGGAGTCTACAGAAGTTCTTGCCTGATTGCTTCAGCTTTCTCAGAGCTGGAGGATCAAGGTCTCATCTGAGAGTGAGGTAGGGAGAAGAGTTTGGAAGTTTGAGGAAAAGGTCTGCTACGAGAAGGCAAGTCCAGGAACCAGAGAGTACGGTGACTGAGCAGAAGCCCCTCGAGACTCATGGTCATGAACTGAAGTGAGATTGTGTCTATGCGCACAGAGAGGAGGGGAGCTGGGTTTAAACGAGCTCCCGTTTGGACAGAGAAGTGAGAGAAGCGAGGATGGGACTGGGAGCCAGCAGTGTATCGGGAGTGCTTACAACCAGTGACCATGGGATCCAAACTAGGTAAATAAGCTAGAGGGGCCATCCAGGGAGGGACAGAAAATGAAAACTTTTCTACTAGGTGGATTAGAGGTCTTTGTGACATCAGAGTTTTGGGGAGTTCGAGGTACTCAAGGCGTGATTTACAGTGATGGAAGATGGTGGTCCAAGGTTGGAATGCAGGCAGTGGAGGTTACAGAGAGACATAGTTATTGTTTTTGACAAGGTCTCAGGTATAATTATGGAAATAAGAGTTCTGCCAGATCATTAAATTAGACTGGTTCAAAGTACTGTGAGACCCAGTCGTTGGAAGAACCATATTCTCAGACAGGAGCCCTCTTAACTTCATCTTTATCAGATATGCAGGTATTTCCAATGAATGAAAAGCCCCAGCACATTCATTTCCAGGGTAAAAACCCTGCAGTTTAAAAGAGCAGAGTGGAACTGAGGACTACCTGTTTTGCTCCTTCACCCATTTTTATATTAGTTCTTTTTTTTTTAACTGTAGCTATGGTTTATATAATGAAGACACTACTATATTGTATGATGGAGGCTTTATCCTAGTTGGTCCTTGCCTTTCAGTTTTATGTTTAATCTTACAGAATTTATATGGAGTATACTGTAAAGAGAGGAATTAGACTTTTTCCAAGAAATTATTTAATTATTAGCACTATTTTTTGAATAATACAGCCCTTTCTTTACTAAAACCCTATTATATATGTTGGTCTGTTCCTGAAGTTTCTGTTATATTGCATTGATATACTGCTTAACTTGGGCCAATATTCCATATTTCAATTATTATAGCTTTATTGCCTGCTGAAATATGGTATCGCTAATGTCGTTATTATTCTTCTTTAACTTTTTCTCTTATCCTCAAATATATTTATTATCCAAAGTGAACTTTAATATCACTTGATCAAGCTGCAATTTGTAAAAATTGCATTAAATTTATAAATTAGTTTGGGTGCAATGACACCTTTACAACGCTGTCTTGCCCTCCAAGAGCAAAACATCTCTCTCCATTTAATCAAATCTTCTTTTATGTCCCTCAGTGAACTTACGAAGTTTTTTAATGTCGACTCTGCCCAACAAAAATTGCCATTTTACTGCCCTATATATAACCATAAGTATTTTTAGCCTTGTCAGCTTTATCTAAAATACCACATTGCCTTTGGAAAAAAGGTTGAGTCATTCCACTGTTTAGAGAAATTCCAGGGGTCTTATTGGCCTCATGAGGAGAAACCACAAAATCCTTAGTTCTAAACACATCATTTTAACCCTACATCCAATGAGACAAGTCTATTGAAAGCTTTTCAGAAGACATTCAAGGCCTTAGTCTTTTAATTATTGGTAATAAGTTACTTTTGAATATGTGGAATAAAACTATTGGCTAATTTTACCTGTAAGTATTATGGGGTTCTGTCTTAAAGAATAGGTTAACAGAAATGATACCGTAAATGCTTGTTTTCATTAGTACTATTATTTGCTTTGGTATTATGGGGAAAAAGAGAGAGAGAAGTCTTTAGTAGGTTCCACTGGCTGCAGTTCTTATTTTGTCCTTTCCCCATCTGGCCTCTAGCTTCACACCAGCTAATATCGACAACATTTATAAGTTCCGAAGAGAACTTATAAATTAGTATTTGAGCATCAGTGTTAGCAGTGGAGATTGTGTAGGTTGATTCTAAGCAGTACATGTTTTTTTCAGGGAGATCGAGGGCCGGCAGGTCCCCCGGGAGCGGCAGGAATCTCGGTGAGTTCAGTCTATCTCACGTTGTTCTCACAGGTACCAGCCGCCAAAAGGGCTGGAAGCACTGGCTGACTCCTGAAACTCCCAGTTTAAGAAACAAAACCCAAAAAGTTTTTTTAAACCCACCTGTTTCTCTCCCACCTCAAGAATGCGCCTGCCTTTATTTTAATCTTTTAAACTTTTTCCTTTGTTTTTTTCTTCCCAACTCAACTTTCACGTGGGGAGGGAAAGCCCATTACCTGTGCCAATGCATCAGTACCACACAGGTCTGAGAAACTTGTTGGGTTTCTCTATTCTTATAATATTTCAAGGTTTTCTAATCTTCAGAAGACAAAGTTCTCATCCTCAGGCAATGTGCTTCAGTATCTTCGTATTAAGCTGCCATCTGCCTGAGTTTTCCCCCAGCCTGGTGTTATTAGCGGAGCTTTATTGCCGCTAATGTTTCCTCATAAACTAGCCCTTTAAGCCTCTCAATCATTTTTGTTGCTCTCTGGTGTCAAATGTTTTAAATCTCATCAAGGTCTTTTCAAATGAATAGGAAGTGCACCAGGAAAGGTTAAAATCATTTCTCAGAGCCCTGGGGATCATTTTGATCTTCATTCATGATGCGCTAATTAAAATTTTGTGGTCAGGCTTTATGAATAAGAGCCCATTTATCCTCACCAGGTGCACTGCAGGGTGAGCCAGGGTAGGAAAGTCAGTGGAAGCCCTGTGCTTCAATCACAGGAACGTGAGGAGACAAGAAAGGGCCCTACCATCTCCGCACCACCCACTGATCTCTGCCAACACCCACCAGCACCCAGAGCCTCCCAACAATCCTCCCCCCATCCCTCAAAAGGCCAGCAGCCACCCTGCTTCCCTCTGTCTCGTTGCTGAACCTAACAACAAAAAATAAAGACCCGTCCACACAGCAAACCCCTCCAGTGTCCTCGTCTATAAAATCCCATGGGCAGAGGAGCCTGGTGGGCTGCAGTCCATGGGGTGGCGAAGAGTCGGGCACGACTGAGTGACTAGCACACTCCATAGAGAGGCATCCTGTGTGGAGGATGACACCCCCTTCCTGACCTGTTTTAGGTCAAGTCCTGAAGTGACTTAGCAGCAGCAGTCTTAGTGTGATTATAAAAGTCACATGAAAATACTTTATTTAGCAAGCACTGCAGAGTTTTTGTTGTTCAGTCACTAAGTCCTGTCTAACTCTGCGACCCCATGAACTGCAGCACACCAGGCTTCCCTGTCCTTCACTATCTCCTGGAGTTTACTCAAATTCATGTCCATTGAGTCAGTGATACCACCCAAGAATTTTTATACCAGAAAGCATTCTTCTTGAAAACTGGCTCACACTTAATCCTGTTCCTCCCCAGCTCCCTACTGTTCCTAGCAACATATTTGTACCTGCCTTTGGGATCACCTTGGGTCCCCTTACAACCTGCGTCTCTCATATTCACACCCCATTTTTGTTTCCCTTTGGCATGGTGAAGTGTAATGCCCTACTGTATTCATCCAGGTGGGACTCTAAATTATGTTCAACTAAGTCTGCCATAAAAGCAAAAATACTAGCAACCACTGAAGTATTTAAAAGATCAGTGACAGACTCAAAAGACAATCCAAATGAATAATTCCAAGAATATTTTTGAAGGATGCAGCATGATTGAAATTAGAGGCTGCCCTGCCACTTGTTTGCGTAGATCTAATGCATTTACCTAAAATGCAGTTTTCATATCTCATCATTAAGATTAACTGACAGTTACAAAAATGGGGAAGGGTTAAAAAAATGCATGCTATATATATATAAAAACTGGCTATAAAGAAAGTTTAAAAACTGTTACTTTAGTTTTTATAACTGGACTTTACTGTGGCTCAGAAAATGAAATAGTTCAAAGATTCTGGAAATAGCTACACACCAGTGTGAGTGTACTTAATACCACTGAATTGTACACATAAAATGGTTAAAATGGTAGATTTCCCGTTATGTATGTTTCACCGCAATTAAAAAAAAAAATTTTAAGGTGATGGTTCTGGTTGAAGCAAGGATGTTCTACTTGCTCTGCACATCACAGACCTCTGCTGAGAACCAGAGGGCCCAGCCCTGCTCCGCCTAGAAGTCTGTCCCTTCCTATTGTGTAAACAGGCCATCCAGGGCCGTCCCGTGGCCTTCCTCCCCTCCCTCCCGGGAGGGCAGGTGCGTACCGGGGGCACCGTGCCCGCCCCAGGTGCTCTGAGGTCCCTGCTGGGGCTGCCTGGCCTTTGGGATCTTCATCTGGAGCTCCAGGCGCGAGTTCCCTGCGCCCCTGAATCCACGCCAAGGCCCTTTGGGACACTGGCTTTCTCAGCTCTAACGCATGCCCCAACTCAGGTCCACGAGATTTCAGGAGCTCCTGCCGCACTTGGGCAGTGGGGGCCCAGGATGCTATCTCAGGCCTGCGTCTGCCTCCCTTCACCCTTCAGCCGTCGCTGACCTGCCAAGGGGCTGCCAGCAAGTAGAGAAAAAGCCCAGGTTTCCTTCCCTGGAAACCTGCTGGGATTTCTATGGTCTCAGCCCCACACCAACATCCCCATCCACATGAGGTTCAAGGGGGAGGAGGTGGCTTCTCAAGGACAGGATCCTCAGGCCTGGTCTGGACACTTGGGCTCGGCCCACTGCTACCTGCGCTGGTCCGACTCCCACTCCGATCTTGCCCAGTGGTCTCTGGTGGACACCCACACATGCACTGAGGGACTGCCTTCCTATCTGCATGGTGGAGTGTGGTCCCCAGACTCTGTCCAGCGGGGGTGGTGCATCAGTGTAGAACCACACCTGCAGCACAGGTGCTAACACGCGGGTGTGGAAGGAAAACACGTGGCCTTGTTCAGTAATTTAGCGCCTAACATTTCCTGGTGATCTGATTCCTCAGGGGAAGCCCGGAGCCCCAGGCCCCCCAGGAATTCCGGGAGAACCGGTAAGTTCCTGTTTCTTCCTTGGCGGTTGTCCTTATGTTGACTGCATGCAGTTCTAAAGCTTTTCTTGGCAACTGATGTTTGTCTGTGGACATGTCTACAGGGGGAGAGAGGCCCTGCTGGAGACGTAGGTTTCCCTGGACCAGAGGGACCCTCAGGAAAGCCTGTAAGTCGTTTTCATTATTTAAAATTTGCCTGTTTAAGAAAAGTTCTCAGCATTGCCTCTTTACTTGTCACCTCGAAAAGTGAGATTTGAATACATAGTTTCTGAGGAAGTGAGAGCAGGTCTGCCAATGGCTTCTTGGGGTGTGGTTCTCCCTGAGGGCCCAGCTCCCTGTGAGTATGTCTTAAATCACCATGGGAACAGTGAGGCCTTTTATTTTAAGTGTCAGGAAATTAGACTCATTATTTCTTAGGTCTAATGTTCTCAGCCGAGTGAAAAGTGAAATGGCCTGTCATATCCTGAATTATGCAGACTCGCAGATTTAACACCTGTGTGTGGAGCTACAGTAGAGAGAGGCTCTGTCTCAGGTTCCCTCCTTTATCTGTGGACTTGTCCTTACACCTTCGTTAATCACTGCCAAGTGCATCACCCACTCATGTCCTAAAAGAGCTCTTGGCTACTGAGACATAATATTGATATGACGTTGTAACAGTCATTCTGATTAATTCAGTTCATTCAATATATGAAGCAGACAGACCATATTCAGTTCATTCAGCCCACCCCTGCCATGTGCTAAGGGTGTGCTGGGCCCTGAGGAATAGTCAGGGTGCTCTTTATAGACGTCCCTGCTCCCTCCGCTGGTTTCTGTACCATGGATTGGGTGGGAACAGGTTGCTGTTAGGAAGGGGGTGGCTGAAGGTGACCGAACAGCACAGAATTCAGGAGGCTGCTCCATCCCTGTGAAACCTCAGGGTCGGGGCATTCCCTGGCCACCATCTCCCCAGAGGCGCAACGTGAAAAAAACGGAAGTATATGCAGTTTAGAGTCAGGGAGATCTGGGTTTGCGATATGACTCCAAGAGTTTGTCAGTCACTGAGGTAACACGGTGTGGTGTGAGGTCCAGTGCCTGCCAGGGAAGGTGGTCCGTTAACATTCGTCTCAATCTCCACCTCCTCTCCCCTGCCTTTTACCAACTCCCCATCCCAACCCCTGTCAGATTCTCTCAGATGCCATCACGTTCCCAGGGAGTTATGCAAAAAGCAGTTTATTCAATCAGTGAATGCTTCTTGAGCACCTGTGACATGCCAGGCACTGTTCCAGCTGCTTGCAGCTCCTCGGATTTATACTCTAGTGTAGGGATACGAACCAGAAACAAAGACGCATGGTTCAGATAGAAGATGATCTAAGCAGGGTAAAGCCCTGGAGTAGCATTTCAATAGGGCAGTCAGACAGGGTCCAGCATTGGTGCAAACCCTGTATGATGGGAGAGCTCAAGCCATGGGGAGGCCAGGGAGACAGCAGGGATGGGGACATTGTTTCGAGAAAAAGGAAAGGCTAGCAGAACCTGCGCGTTGAAGGAAGGGCAGAAGGCACAAAGTCAGGAGGAAGGTGAGCTGAAGGAGAGCAGGAGAGACATGGAGGGAGAGGCAGGCAGTGGCCAGACTGTGAGGAACTTCTGAGTCAGGGATGCAGTTCGGGTTTCATTTGAAGTCTGATTGAGACCCATTGGAGCATTTGTAGCGGGTAAGGAAATGACTGGACTGCATTTTCGAGGACCACTCTAACTCCTGCCTGGAGAGCCGACGATAGGGAGAAGGGTGGAAGCAGAGAGAACCTTGAGGAAGCATTGCCATGATGTGTCTTGAAGGCAGAGCCGTCAGTACTTGCTGATGGGCCAGATGCAGTGGGTGAGAAAGAGATACAGCAAAGCTGTAGTTTGGAGTCTGAGCAGCCTGGTCAGTGTGGTACATTTGGTGAGACCGGAAGGACGGGAGATGGGTGAATGTGGGAGGAAAAACCAGGAGTTTGCTGCTGTAAAATGTTCATCTTGAAGCACTAGTAGACTGCTAAGTGGAAGTGTCAAGTAGGCGGTGGATCCTTCTGGAATTAATGGAGAGGCCAGGACTGCAGAGACTGATTTGGGCCTTTCAACCTGAGCCTGGATGAAATGAGGTCACTGTGAACTGGGAAGAGAACAGAGACACTAGGAGAGGCTCTGGCCGAAGGACTGAGAAGGGGCAGCCAGTGAGAGGTGGAGAAGGCCGGGCGAAGGAGAGTTCCTGCGTGTCGAGGGAGCCAAGTGTTTGAGAGAATGGAGAGGAAACCGCATGGAAGAGTATCAAGGGAGCTTAAAATTCTCCCCTGGGTTTGGAAACGCAGGCATCACTGGGGGAGAGCATACAGCATGATGGTATCGTGATAAGAATGACCTGGTTGAGAACTTTCCTTGTGGTCTTGTGGTTAAAATCTGCCTGCCAATGCAGGAGACATGGGTTCCATCCTTGATCTGGGAAGATCCCACGTGCCACAGAGCAATTCAGTCCACACTGTGAGCCGCAACTACTGAGCCTGCATGCCTAGAGCCCGTTCTCCGTGGCAGCAGAAGCACTGCAATGAGAAGCCTGTGCGCTGCTACCAGTGAGTGTCTACACACACCACCAGAGGCCCCTTCATCAATGAATGAAAAGTGAAAGTCGCTGTCGTGTCAGACCCTTTGCGACCCCATGGACTACACAGTCCACGGAATTCTCCAGGCCAGAATACTGGAGTGGGTAGCCTTTCCCTTCTCCAGGGGATCTTCCCAACCCAGGGATCGAACCCAGGTCTCCTGCATTGCAGGCGAATTCTTTACCAGCTAAGCCACAAATATAAAAAAAGAATGACTAATGATATAAAAAAAAGAAAGGGGACATTGGAAGATACAAGAGAGTGGGCTCTGAGTCAGGAGAGAAGACTCACACGTGGAAACTGGTCTTCACAAGGAACAGGGCAGAACCTCCTTCTTAAGAGGAGGGAGGAGCAGAAGTCAGAGTTCTCATGAGCACAGGTGGGTGGGGCTGGAGGCAGAATGGTGAGTGGGTCCCCTACTGCTGTTTTCTCCGTGAAGGATGCAAGTCATCACTGACCATGAGGAATGGGCTGGTAATGCTGGTAATGCTGGAGGTTTCATGAGACAGGAAAATAAGTGCAGGTACTGTTTTGAAAGAAGGAGTCAAGTCGAGAAATATCGAGGGGTTGCTTGGGAGCTGCTGCCACAGGTGTGCTGAACAGAACACCTGAGCAAGGGCCCCCCTTCTTCTTCAACCTCAGGCCACTGCTCAGATGCAGGTGTGTGGTAGATGGACACCTGAGTTAGAAAGAAGAGTAGGGGTCTTTCAGATAAGTGAAATGAAAGGGAGAAAGGTAAATCCATTGAGGTTTTTGTAAAAATTTCTGAAACCAGGACCTTCCCCACCCCCTACTGGTGATAAAGAGCAAGTTAATAACATCTTCATAGAGAAAAGAGACAGGTTTCCCTGGTGGCTCAGTGGTAAAGAATCTGCCTGCAGTGCAGGAGACGCGGGTGTGGTCCCTGGGTTGGGAAGATCCCCTGGAGGAGGGCGTGGCAACCCACTCCAGTTTTCTGGCCTGGAGAAGCCCATGGACAGAGGAGCCTGGTGGGCTACTGGGGTCGCGGGAGTTGGCCATGACTGAAGCAATGAAGCAGCACTAGCGGAGAAAAGAGAACGCATATGACAGTCACTAATGAATTATAAAAGACAGGAAATTATCTAGAAGTTTGTTCATTTTCTCGTATTGCTACCAAAAACGTGAATTACATTTTTACACCAGGTTTATCTTCTCTTATTCAAATGACATGGTTGTTTCTTTCACATCGTCTCCTTAACCAGCTTTATCTTTTGCTTGTGTTTCTGGATGGCATGAATCCTTAGAACTCGATGTTTCAGGCAACATGGTCTTAGTTAAAGTGTTCTAGGTAATTCCCAGGATTTTCAGGGAGCTTGGGGGACTGGGCTAGGTTCCCAACCCAGTGTGATTACAGCAGTGAAAACACTGTTTGTCGGGAGATCCATCCTTGTAGACTCCGTCCCAGCCCAGCGAAAGTCTCCCAGGCTTTGCAGAGGAGGGAGTCCCTGCGCCTGCCTGCTGCCGAGAAATCACTTCCTCGCCCTGGTCTCCCTCTTCAGGTCAAAGCTCAGAGACAAACCTGCTGTGGGTCTCTCAGTATCTGATGTGATCCTGAGTGCTTTCCCTCTGATACCTACCAGCCGGGGCTTCTCCTGGGTTCACGAATCTGCAAGCAGGACTAGGCTTTTTTATCGACTACGGAACTGCCTTGTAGAGTTTGAGAAGCTTCCAGTTTACTAAGGAGAAACCAGTATCTAATACTCTCAGAAAGCACAATCACAAATTTCTCACTGTCCTTTCATATTTTTCAACTGAAAAATAGCAGTTGTCTCTGGCTGACAGTTTATGTCATAGCAGGATCAGGCTGTAGCCACGTTATGAATTTATCAAGCAACAATAGAGGCCATTTACTGAGAATGACTCTCTTTGGTAGGAAGATTGTTGAAAGTGAGCAATGAATATCATATACTGGCCACCCAGCACCATGGGAAGTCTTCTAATTTCTCAGAATGGACCTAACGTAATAAGTGAGGAAAACAACCCTGTTGACTATAGTGAGCTAGGCATTTTCTGTTATTTCCCTAAATTCCTAGTTTTAAGGCCATTGTTTATCCTCACTTTGTGAGTGGAGAAGCTGATGCTATTAAGGTTAAGTAAGTTGCTGGAAGTAAATGGAACTTGTAAGTTATAGAGTCAGAATTTAAACTTGGGGCAGATTCTGTCGGTTTTGTTTTCTATTTCACCACCCTGCCTCACCAAAATCTCAGTGGCGATATGATAAAGTCCTTGAAACTTTACCCTTTTGTTGCATTTAATTATTTCTGTTAATGCAGAATCAGAAATACTGACCATTATTTGTCTTTACAGGGAATAAATGGGAAAGATGGATTACCAGGTGTTCAGGTATGGAAAATGCCATTGAAAATAAATGTTCTAATGCAAAACTACATCCAGATCACCTGCCAAAATTCCTGGTGGAGTCGATTGATGAGGAATCTTGGCATGCAGTGATTTTTAGTGCTGACATTTGTTTTTCAGGGCATCATGGGTAAGCCTGGAGAGAGAGGCCCCAAAGGAGAACGGGTATGTACATCCCTACTATGACTGTTAAGTCCATCTCCACAACTGCCTCATCATTTGAATTACACCATGATATTTTTAGACCTGCTAGAAATCTCCTGATATGAAAAAACTTACCATGTACGTGAGCCAGGATCTCTGCCAGGCATAAAACAGGGCCACTGAGGGACCCAGCAGTAGGCCCTAGGGCAGTTACGCCTACCTACTTGGCCTTGATTCACAACTATGCCTGGTTTGTGATCCCAGTTTGGAAAGCTCCTATAAGCCTCCTGTGTCAGATACATGACCCACTGTACCCATCACCCATGTGCTTTTCACCTAGAGTAGGGTTTCTCCACCTCAGCATTGTTGATGTTTGGGGGCAGTAATTCTTCGTCATAGGTGCGCATCCCACGCTTTGTTAAGATGTTTAGCAGCATGCCTGGCCTCCACCCACTAGACGCTGTACCATCAGCCTCCCTCCAGAACTGTCACCTTGCATTTCCACATGCCTCCCAGGGAGCAGAGGTGTCGCTGAGGACACCCCCATCCCCAGTCTGGAGGAATAATGCTTGGCTGAATAAGGGGCTGGGGTCGGAGGTAGAGAAAGACATATAGAGCTACCAGTAATGCCAGTTCCGGTGTGTGCTTTTAGTGATGTTGTTTTGGTTGTTGGTATCAATGTTGCAACTTCCCATTATTTTCTCTAAGAAACCTTAACATTTTCTACTAGAATTGGATTTATTCCTCAGCCACAGGTTCCTTGAACATTGTTATTTAGGGGTTCTGGTGAGGGCTTGTTGGGGGGGGGCATGTTCTTATGTACTGGTGTCTATTTTACTTATCCTTACACAAATAATCTGGCTTCCCTGGTGGCTCAGTGGTAAATAATCTGCCTGCAATGTAGGAGACCCAGGTTTGATCCCTAGGTTGGGAAGACCCCTTGGAGAAGGAAATGGCAACTCACTCCAGTATTCTTGCCTGGGAAATCCCATGGACAGAGGAGCCTGGCAGGTCACATGGGGTCACAAGTGTTCCATGGGGTCACAAAGAGTCAGACATGACTTGATTATTGAACCACCACTACCACCACACAAATAATCCATGATAACTGAAGGAAATACAAAAATAGAGAAACCATAAAGAAAAAAGAAAAAAGTCTACCTTATTTCACTACACAGAGATAAGCACTATTGATATTTTGGACCTATTTCCATCTCACTGTTATACATGATGTAATATACATGTTTGCTTAATGCATCGATGCAAGTGAGCATATACTTTTAAAAAAAATGGGTTCATACTTTTTGGTAAATGACTCTTTTCACCTAACATAGGATAACCATCTTTCCATGTCAGAAAACCTAGATCCACACAGACCTTTTAGTGGCTATATGTTATTCCAGTATTTGGATATACCTTCTCCAAGGTATGTGGAAAATACCTTGCCCCTTTTTCTGAGATATTTAGGTTCTTTCTAGTTTTTATAATAAACATCCTTGTGCCTAAATTATAAATAGTTTTAGTTGTGTTTATTTTGCATATACTCAAGGTGTGCTAGTAGTTCTTCTGTTTCTCTTTTTTTTTTGTCTTATTCATCTCAGATATTTTTCCAAATGTGACCTGGGTTGATATACTTGTATCAGACATATTTCTATAACTAAGGCAGTAGAATTTAAATTAGGTCCAAATGATTCTCTTCTTTGTGCATGGCTTCGTTCTATATCTCTTCATTTAGGATCAGATAGATCTCAGTAACTATTCATTCATTTCATTATTTTTTAAATCAGGAAAAATAGAGTTTGAACTTTTGCAGAAGAATCACAAATAGAAGAATAACAGTCAAATACGGGGCAGGTTAATGCACCAGTCTTTCATATTCAGTGTGATCATCACCTCCTGGAGCTGTGGAACTAATATTTGAAATGCAGAAACTGAAATATCTGCCAACATACGCACATATTCATTCATTTATATTCCATCTCTCTGTCTCTCTCCCTCTTCCTTGCTCTTTCATACTCTCATGCACAAACTTATATGTAGTAAACGCCTTGCAGGAAAAAGTCAGCATTAAAGAAACTTCTCAGATTCAAGCACATCTAATTTGTTACAGCATCTCATTCAATGAATTTTCTTATAGTTCATTTACATTATTGAGTAAATGATCTCAGTAATGACCTTCCACCCGAGTCACCTGCTTTGAACATTCCCAAAGGCTGTTTTTTCTCACCTTCCTCAGTCATGTCCCTTTAGGACATAGAATGCACTCACACATACACACACACGCAAGTGCACACATGGGTAAAACATGAGTGCCACAACCAACCCACAGAAACTAACAAAGACCAAACATACAGGAGAAAGCATAAAAAGAAGAAAGTACCTGATTTAGGAGAGATTTTGAGCGTCCTGAAGCTTTTCCAAATGGAAGCTTTCAGTGATGAACTCTTCTTAGCCATCGTCCTCTGTTATCGCAAAGGAGACCTAGGCCTGAAGTGGCCTCGCCACTGTGGACTTTCAGAAATGCCGTCAGTCTGGACTGACAACGGGGTGCAAGTTAGCTCATCACTGACTTGGAGCTGAGCGCTTTCTGAGTGCCAAGTTAACTCACTTCTCAGCATCTTCTATTCAGTGGATACTGCTAACAGCCCCCCTTTAGGGACAGGAAGCAGGGTGCAGAGAGTTTAATCCACTTACCAAAGGCTCCACAGCTAACACATGCCAGTATGAATCCAGAACCTTTGCTAACATGGTTCTAGAAGAGATCATTCTAATTCGTTTTTTTCCCAACAGGGTGATCAGGGAATTCCAGGAGACCGAGGCCCACAAGGTGAACAAGGAAAACCAGGCCTTCAAGGGATAAAGGGGGCCGTAGGTCCTGTGGGGCCCCCAGGAAACAAGGGCTCCCCAGGGTCCCCTGGGCATCAGGGCCCGCCAGGCCTCCCTGGCCTCCCCGGCTCCCAGGTAAGTGGGCAGAGAGCTCCTGGAGCTCCTGGCTGGGACTGCAAGTCATAAACCTTTCCAGATAAAATGAACCTAAGCTGGCCTCTACAAGCGCAGCAATCATGTCATTTACTTCAAGTGATGTGCCAGGTCCCACGCTGAGTACTCACTGAACATTCCCTCCTTAGATCCTCACAACTAACCTGAGAGGACGGGTGACCTCACCTTCCACCTTGACAAATGCAGAAGCCGAACTCTGACCTGTCCAGGCTCACAGTGATCTAGGGGTCAGACAGACCCAGCTCTGACCGACTCCAGGGCCTTGCCCTCAAATATGATCAATGGTAGCCCCTTCCACTACACGGAAAACACACATCTATCTATGTTAAAACTCCATTTTGTTGACTGTCAGAACAACGAATCTGCCCTGAGTGGTGCTTTGAAGTGGAAACCCATTTGCCCAAGAGCGTATCTGGCTAAGGAGGCCCGTGTCTTTATAAGCATCCTCAGGAGGTGGTGGATGGCCATTCTGCAGAGGAACTGAGTCAGAGTATGTCCTCTTCAGGAAGAAGGGGGGGGGGGCAGTCCTAGTCTGAGACCAGAAAATGAAGGACATTCTGTCCCCTGATAAACAGCTAAGTCCAGAGGTTGGGCCGAACTGGGCGTTCCCACCATACTCTCTCACCCACTCTCGCTGTGTTCTGCTTAAATCAAGCCTGAGCAGCGAACTCTCAGTGCTGCGCCAGCCTGTGGTGCTAGATGCATTCATTCAAACAGTGAAAATGAAATACTGTGAAGTCCCACAGAAGCTCTCACTCTGCGAACACATCATACTGTCTTTAATGTCGCACATGTATCCGTGGATAGTAACCACCAAATACAAAGCAGAGTAACAACATACTTTGAAGCCTTAACCACTGTGAAAAATAATAGCTCCCTTTTAAAACTATCAAGGTCCTGAAATAAAACATTACTATTATAAATGTCAAATGCTATTATAAATGTTAGGCTCTTGGTCAAATTCATGTAGATTTATTTGTAAAGAGGTTAAAAAGTCAGGTGGCATCATCTACATACTTCCCTTTACCAGACTCCACAGCATTTTCTATCAGGAAAATTTCAGACTTCCAGTGACCCATCAGTTAAGAGTCCACCTGCCAATGCAGGTTTAATCCCTGGTCTGGGAAGATCCCACATTCCATGAAGCAGCTAAACCCATGTACCACAACCTGTGAGCCCATGTGCCACAGCTGCAGAAGCCTGTCTACCCCAGAGCCCATGCTCCTCACCAAGAGAAGTTACCAATGAGAAACCCGAGCACCACCACTCAAGAGCAGTCCCCGATCGCCACAAATAGAGAAAGCCCACACGAAGCAGTAAAGACCCAGTACGGCCAAAATTAAATAAATAAAAATTTTAAAAGGAAAAGAAAATTGCTGAATATAGGTTTGCTTGCAGTGTGTAAATTGCAAAATAAACTTGACCGTGAAGTGGGTAAAACTTAGTAAGCTTTAGCTCATGAATGAAACATGTTAAAAAATCAGCCCAGTTAGAGTTCTCATCCTTTGAAGACACATGATAGAATTGGCTAGATATGGACTTTACCACTATCCAGGGATTAGTACAAAGGACAAAACTATTTTGCTTGATCAGTGGATCTCTACAGACATTTTACGCATGCATGCCAACCCACTCCTTCTCTTCTTTATTCATTTGTGCTAGGCTCTGTATTAATAGACCTTCTCTTCCTCTTCTTTAGGCTGATGTGGTTTCATTTGAAGAAATAAAGAAGTATATTAATCAAGAAGTTCTGAGGATTTTTGAAGGTGAGGTTTGCTGAGTACACATTTCTGAATTGTCCCCGCTTCCTCCTCCCCCTCTGCTGTTGACAATCTCTCCAGCAGCGTTCGTGCAAAGATGCTGTGCACCATCTGCCTTAAGAGGTGGCCTGTCCGAGGATGTGGCAGCTCAGATAGGAGCTTCTTACTCACATGGAGCTAAGTCTGCCTCCCTGTAGGTTCTCTCCTTACTCCTGGTCCATAGCCACCACCGGGAAAGGACCTTCTCTTCACACGACAGCCCTCTGAGTGAGCATCCGCAGTACCCCTCCTTAGTCTCCTCCATGGAGCAAGTGTGTGCGGTTCCCCCACGTCATCGCCCTGGAGAAACGGCCCTCATTCTCCAGGAGTATTATGACCAGGCAGAGGAGAGTGTCTTTAGATCTAGACCAGGTTCAGTGAACCATGGCCACCAGCCCTGTCTACCTGCCTCTCGTTGTTGTTATAGCCACAAGCTAAGAATTGAGTCTACCTTTTTGGCAGATGGAAGGAGGTGTTTGCTTGCATGCTAAGTCGCTTCAGTCATGTCCAGCTCTTTGCGACCCTATGGACTGTAGCCTGCCAGGCTCCTCTCTCCATGGGATTTCCCAGGAGTGCATTGCCATTATCTCCTCCAGCTGTCTCTTTTGTCTCCCGCGTTGGCAGGCAGGTTTTTTACCACTAGTGCCACCTGGGAAGCCCATGGAAGGAGGATACATTTCTAAATGTTTTTTTTAATCAAAATAATATTTCATGACATGCAAAATGATCAGAAATTCAAATCTGTGTCCATAAACAGTGTCATAGCAGTGCAGTCACACTCCTTTCTTTATGTATTTTCTCTGCTCGCTTCCATGCTGGACAGCAGGTTTAAGTATATGACAGGGACTTCGTAGCCTACCAGGCCTCAAATATTTACTTTGTGACCCTTCAGCAAGAAGGCTTTCTGACCCCTGATTTAGACACTTCAATAATGCAGCCTAAGATAGTGTTCCTTAAAAAAAACTTGTCTGTATCACACTGTTGATTCATTTTGACTTTTAAGTGAACTAACAACCCTCCATCCACCTTATAGAAACTTTTAAAAAATTGAGTTTTTCTCATTATGCTTTGTGTTCATTTGTTAAATGTAAGTGATTTTTATGTCTATTTTTACTCAACTTCAAGTGATCCTCGTACATACATTGTTCCAACCTGAAAATATCTTTTGGAATCTTGTCTTGTTGTAGGGCAGGTTGCCTGACCCTCATAACTTTGTGTCATCTCTAAATTTCATAGGTACGTCATAGTTTTTAATAGAAATGTTGAGTTAAAAGGATTAGATCCAAACACCATTGAGTTCCTCCTGCCCATTTGTAAAGCATCTATTTAATCTATTTTAGCGAGCTCTAAATCCAAATAGTTGTCTTAAAATCTAATCCACATTTCTTTATTTACAAGGATATTACATAATTTTGTCAAATAGTTTGCAAAAATCATTTCCCTCAACTATGAGCTTAATAAGGTGAGAATTGTCTTTAGAAAATAAATCCACATTGGTTCATGGTTCCTGCTTTGCTAAGCTAAACATACATTGTTGAATTTTCCAGGGAGTAAGATTACAGGATACCCCAAGTTCATCTTAAGGCTTTCACTGCCAGCATGGAGTTATCGTCTCTCCAGGAACCCTGATTATTTTAAGCAGAAATTAGTAAGACAGAACAAAATGTCAGCACTTGAGTGGACATCATCTTATTTCACCTGAGCACTAAAGAGAGAGCAGAGTAGCCCAGGGACTTAGGTTGTTTCAGTGACAAAATAGAAAACAAATGTTTTTTCAAAGGTCATGAATTCATGCTGCTGATTTCATCTTGCTGTCTACTAAGTATCTTTATCTTGCTCTGACCTGATAGTTTGTAATACAATTATCCACTCTTTTTTTTTTAGTTATGAGTTTTCTCCTTGTAATTTTAATGTTGCCCTTATATATTAGAAGCTCCTTTTCTTTTTTGACTTTAGAATCAAACATCATGAAATAGGCTCCAAATTTTGCAATCCAGACATTCCCCCACAATAAGCATCCCTCAAACATCTGAAAAGGAAAAAGACATCTCAAGCTCTCATGGAAACAGTGAAAAATAATAGAGGCATAGGCAGGCCAGGTAATTTGCAGGATTCAATGCAAAAGGAAAATGCAAGTGCATTGTTCAAAAATTATTAAGAATTATAAGAAAGCAACAGCAGAACATTAGACCAAGCAGGGGCAACCTTCTGAGGGTGGAAGGTAGCACATCTGTAAAGTCAGCCCCGAAGTCAGGACACCTGAGACCTCAGGTAACATCTGCGTCTTTAGTGGCCCAGAGCCTTGAGAAGGGGAAGCCCCTAGTGGCTCAGATGGTAAAGAATCTTCTTGCAATGCAGGAGACCTGAGTTCAATCCCTGGGTCAGGAAGATTCCCTGAAGAAGGGAATGGCAACCCACTTCAGTATTCTTGGATGGAGAATCCCATGGACAGAGGAGCCAAGGGCTGCAGTCCATAGGGTCACAAAGAGTCAAACATGACTGAGCATACCACACTCACATGCACACGAACACACGCGCGCACACACACACACACACACACACACATTAGTAAGTATTATCCTGCTATCGTCTTTCAATATATCTACAGTGAAGATATTAATTTATATATGTATCTGTATACATGCTCTATACGGTCAGCAAAAACAAGACCTGGAGCTGACTGTGGCTCAGACCATGAGCTCCTTATTGCAAAATTTTGGCTTAAATTGAAGAAAGTAGGGAAAACCACTAGGCCAATCAGGTATGACCTAAATCAAACCCCTTATGACTATACAGTGGAAGTGATGAATAAATACAAAGGATTAGATCTGTTAGACAGAGTGCCTGAAGAACTATGGATAGAGGTTCATAACATTGTACAGGAGTCAGTGACCAAAACCATCCCAAAGAAAAAGAAATGCAAGAAGGCAAAGTGGTTGTCTGAGAATGCCTTGAAAACAGCTGAGAAAAGAAGAAAAGTGAAAGGCAAAGGAGAAAGGGAAAGATACACCCAACTGGATGCAGAGTCCAGAGAACAGCAAGGAGAGATAAGAAAGCCTTCTTAAGTGAACAATGCAAAGAAATAGGGGAAAGCAATAGGATGGAAAAGACTAGAGGCCTCCTCAAGAAAATTAGAGAGATCAAGGAGATAGTACATGCAAGAATGGGCATGGGGAAGGACAGAAAGAGTAAGAACCTAACAGAAGCAGAAGATATTAAGAGAGGTGACAAGAATGCACAGAGGAACTATACAAAAAGTCTTAATGACCTGGATAACCATGAGGATGTGATGACTTACCTAGAGCCAGACATCTGGAGTGTGAAGTCAAATGGGTCTCAAGAAACATTACAACGAACAAAGCTAGTGGAGGTGATGGAATTCCAGCTGAGTTATTTCAAATCCTAAAAGACAATGCTGTTAAAGTGCGGCACTCAATATGTCAGCAAATTTGGAAAACTCAGCAGTGGCAACAGGACTGGAAAAGGTCAGTTTACATTCCAATTCCAAAGACGAATATTCAAATTACCATACAATTGTCCTCATTTCACATGCTCGCAAGGTAATGCTCAAAAACCCTTCAAGCTTGGCTTCAACAGTTCATGCACTGAGAACTTCCAGATGTACCAGCTGGATTCAGAAAAGGCAGAGGAACCAGAGATCAAGTTGCCAACATCCATTGGATCATAGAAAAAGCATGGGAATTCCAAAGTCATCTGCCTCATTGACTACAGTAAAGCCTTTGTGTGGATCACAACAAACTGGAAAGTTCTTAAAGGTATGGAACTATCAGACCACCTTACTTGCCTCCTGAGGAACTTGTATACTTTGGTGATGAGTCTCCTTACCAAAGCCCCAAAACCAAGAAGGGAAGGTCCTCGTCTCTGGTCTTGAAAGAAGCTCCTGCCGTTATGTGCAGTTCTGAGAATAATAAACCTCCTTTCTCGTTGGCTTTTCCTTTCTCTTCCCCCAGGGCTGAGCCAGGGCAACCTCCAGGATCTTGTCCTCCCCAGGGTCCACTCTGCAACCCCCAAAACTGACCAGCAGGAGAGACGGCAGCCTTGACACCTCTCTTCTGCCTCACGTCAGGCCTGGGGTGATGGTTTTCGGGTTTTGTTTCTTGGGTTTTTTTCTTTTTGGCCGTGCTGGGTTTTCAGTGCATCACGCCGGCTCTCTGGTTGTGGCACATGGGCTAGGATGCCCCACAGCAGGTGGGATCTTAGTTCCCTGACCAGGGATCGAACTCGCATTCCCTGCATTAGGAGGTGGATTCTTAACCACTGGAACACCAGGGAAGTTCCAGGCCTGGGATGTAGCTGGGCCCTGGGACCTTGACTGTGGTCAGAAGGAAGGAAGTGGCTCCAGCCTGGCCCAGCAGGTAGACTGAGCACAAAAGCACGATCCCTCTGGGTCCTCCTGGCACAAGCCCCCTCCTCCAGCTGAGAAAGACCCAGCCCACCTTTCCTGGGGACCAGCCTGGAGGCTCTGGGGCTCCAGGGCGGCTGTGGTCACGCCCCTCTGATGAGCGTGCCCTATTTGGACAATAATCCCTCTGTTCCCCCAGACAAGCCAATTCCTCTGCTCCCTCTTCCTGTTATTGCAGAGGGGAGGGGGCTGTTTCCCCCACTTCCAGGCTCCAGAACTGAGCTGAGTCAGGAGAAGAAGCAACAGTTAGAACTGGACATGGAACAACGGACTGCTTCAAAATTTGGAAAGGAGAATATCAAGCCTGTATCTTGTCACCCTGCTTATTTAACTTATATGCACAGTACATCATGTGAAATGCTGGGCTGGATGACTCACAAACTGGAATCAAGATTTCCAGGAGAAATATTGACAACCTCAGAGAAGTAGATGATAACCACTCTAATGGCAGAAAGCGAACAGGAACTAAAGAGTCTATTGATGAAGGTGAAAGAGGAGAGTGAAAAGCTGGCTTAAAATTCAGCATTCAAAAAATGAAGATCAT